GGTTTCCGGTATTGCAGACTTCCTGCCGTACTTAATTTTCCACTTGGAAAACTACTGAACGTCATTTCTCGAAAACTTCCCTGATTTTTCTTCTCAATGTGAAGAATACGTATCGAAAATTTCAATCTATGATGTTGACTAACAATCAGTATTCTTTTGGAAAATAAAATAGGAGAGGAAATTTTGAAACATCACAACCGAGGTACGCATTTTTGCAATTTCATCGTCAATATTTTTTCAACTTAATGCCCTGATTTTCTACCTGACTGACCTGAGTTGACCACGATTGGCGCACTCAACATCAGTGGCGATTCGTGAGAGTTGGCAATACTGTTTTTCCTCCATTTAAATGTAAACAAAACAATCGATTCTTGGAAAGGCAGCTTGCCTAAACTCAAATCGATATTTTTAATGGATTTAGATAGAAGAAATACAGAGTTGCCAACTTGCAAAATCGCATACGGAGCTAGGAGCTACATCACGGTCTCCATATGCTAAACAACTCAATATGAACCGCTTTAAACTAGCTTAGCCAAAAAATCCCTAACTGTCCGCCAAAATTCCATGATTTTTTAGAACAGAGCAAAAATAGTGAGTACCTACATAACCGAGAGAAACGACAGTGTGTGATGTAAGGTGGCTAAAATCTAGGAGCTTGGATAAGTGCTTCAAAAGAGCAAACGATGGAAAATCAAAAAAACAGGTGGAAAGGAGAAGAAGAGAAAATTGCATGAGAATTTAACTCACGGTAAAGCAGCCCAATTTTTAGAAATTGAGAGACCGCCCGGAGATGAACTGCGGCTTGATGACCTTTTCGGCGTCGGAGGAGTCATTAGGTTGTCCATAGTGGACCAGGCGCTCAAACTCCGGCTCTGTTTTTGTGAAAAAAGAACCCATCAGATTTGCGACTGAATTGATACAAAAATGACAGATTGACTGCCAGGATGACACTCAAAGTGCGGTACAATGCGTGGGTGATGGACGAATGAAGAACAAAACAAAAGCGCTGGCACAGAGTGGAGGCCAAAAGATGGGGTCAAAGAGACAAGCAATAAGCTGCAAATGGCGAGAGGTATATTAGACCGAGAGNCCGCGTTAAATGAGCCCAGTATCAAGTGTATATGTTTCCGGTCAAAATCCGAGCAATTTTTGGGCTTTTTAGGGGCCTAAAACTTTCTTAATGCAACCGGTTTGACCTGCCAGACCGCCCATTTCTTTTTACACACCAAAATCCGCTTCGAATGAGGTGGGTGGCAAATTTATATTATTCCGGTTGAACGAATCGTCATGAGCTCTCGGTCTATATGAACAAATGGCCACAATTAAGTTCAAAAGCAAATCGAGTATTTCAACTAAGCCAGCCGTACGATGAACGCCTGCACTAGAAATAGGTTCAAATTGAGTGAAGACTGTTGAAAACAAGTGACTACATTTTGCAGTGCGGAACCACAATTTCTGGCTCAGTTCAGAAACAACATAGGTGCCATTGGTTTCTCTATGCAAATAGGTGCTTCCATAAATGATTGGATGCTTGGTGCTTCCAGAAATTACAGTTCCTCATTGCAAAATGACCTCCTATGTGTTTCCACTAACATAAATAGCTGATAGCGTATGTATGAGTGAATGGCAATCTGGAGGGATTTTTGTGCTGATACGCAGGAGTGAATAATGGGAAAGAAGATTTCCACCATTTCAATAGTGTAGTACCTAAATTGGAACCATTTACCAACTCACAAAAGGGCCTAAATGTCAAAAACTATACAGCCCTGGTTTCCGTCATCTATACCACTTCTAAGGCGAATAAGCTTTTGGTGCTTTGGTAAATAATTGGTTTACTTCAAGGGAGTTTCAGTAACTAGGAGCGCAGATGCAGCAAGTGTAAAAGCACACGGAATTGAGGGTGAAGGTTAGGGACACAGCAGAAGTTTTTAGTTGATTCACACTTCTTCTTTTTTTAAATCTTTTCATAAAATTTAACTGCTTCAGTTATATCTTGCCAAGATGTCACCGCAAAGAAGTGCGTAAGTGTTGTTTCATTTAATTTTCATATTTTTTTCTTATTGGTTAGATAATAGCAATCTACTTATAGATATGTATATTCTGTTGACATTATTGGACAAGAAACATCTTAATTGTGCATGACCGTTGGCAAATTAAAACGAGAGGAAAGTAACTCAGCATTCCAGGTTCTTTAGCAGCAATTACTATAGCAGTAAATCATGAGGGGCGAATTGGTGATGTTGAATAAGTGTTGCGCCAATATGTGATAACATGATTTTGAAATAAGGAATATATCTCAACCTTGTATGAGGTGCGACAAACATATAAGTACCGAATAGATAAAGGAGTAGGATATGAGGATATAAAACCGATGCTGTACAAATAATACAGGTGCCATTATGCAGAACTGATACATGTTGATGGTTCTTCCTTTTGACATCAATATCGATCAGTGAGGCTACTGGGAGCAATACCAAACAAGATCCTATTAAAAACAATAACATTTGTTAGACCATTAACCTGACAATAGGTGTAGGACACAGGAAGATGTGATGTTTGTGGTCAAAACATGGAAAAGCTGATGGAACCACGACAAACTGATCAATTTATGCAAGAATACAAATGTAAACAAAATTGGTGGCTGTCAATGGGGGGTTGATTAGTCGAAGCTATAATCTTGTGGTGCAATGTTTGGACATACAACAACCTGAGCTAATGCAAAAAACGTCAGGAGCTGAAAATTAGAAAGACATGAATATATGATGGAGGAGATTCCTGAAAAGCTACAAAAGCTACGCATCTCACAGACAAGAGGTTAATTCCAAGGAAGAGCTGCGTAAACAAAACAAGGAACCAATTCTAAACATATAATTGAGAGATAAGAGTTCGATCAAAAGCAAATCGGTAAGTTAGATGTACTTCGGAACTCAAGAGAAACGCAAAACCTGAGGAGCAAAGACAGAATCCTGGTGAATTATTATAAGATTTGAAAGAACAAACAAATTTAACCTGTGCTTTCTTGAAAATGTCACACGTCATTCTCGTACGTGAAAAAACACAGGATCATGAAGAATACAGTGCGAGAAATCAGTTGATTAAAACACAGACAGTAGTCAACAAATATAAAGTGTCGAGTCGTCAAAAGTTTGAAGTAGTTTAGAAATGGTAATGAGGTTCGCGAGACAGGAACAGGCATCAAAGGCAGAATTGAGCAAAACAAAAAGCTCATAAAATGTTGACCTACCTAGTATCCAAGGTTGAACTAGTTTTCAATAAAGCCATTGGCGTTCATTTTTGGTGAAAATGTCAACTAAACACTAAACCGTACAAGAATACACTAATGATAACACATTCTTATCTAATCAACGAATTATCACAATTTTCCACACAGTGACACTAGAAAAACAACAGAGAGACAGTGCTGACATCTTGAAAGCTGCCATGACAGTTTACATTGAACTTTCCAGTCTGCCACGGACAGTAGCGCCAAAATAATTACTGAGTATTTGCGAGGCGTGTGTATATCCTTGGTAGTTTCCAAAATTTTCATTCATGATGCACGTCATGGCTTTGGCAGACTTCAAGAAAAAATGACAATGTCAGGCTCCATGAAGTAAATGCAGAAGAAACAAATTACGCGGGAAATTATTTCCCGCGCTCAAGAACTTTCAAACTTTCCAACTCTTCCCTCCGCCCCCCCCTCCCCCATACGGAACAATGTGTGAATATTTTCCTGCTATGCGCAAGGTCGCAATCCAAAGCTATTATTTACACAATGATTAAATTATATGCGAGCATAGATCTGCGTTCGTTGCTATTCACTCAATACTCGATTAATTCATTGGATACAGGAGACCAATATTATCTAACACCCTTCTCCTCTCATACCAAAATAAATCAGTGAAATGCTAGAAAATCTAATCAGCATTCTGTATTCAGGAAAGACGCCGTATGAACTTTCGAGAGTTGCCAGATTTTCTTCGATAAAATGTTTAATTTTGAGGAAAGTTATGGATATTTTTCCTTGAAATTTTCAGGAACTTCAGGTGAAATTTCGAACAAAATTATCTGAAAAAATGGAGGAAAAATATTAACAAATTTTCCCAAAAGTTCGTGATTTACTAAAGGAAATTGGGCAACGCCTGAAGGTTCTTACGGCATTTTTCCGTAGCACGGCAGGCTTATCAGCATGAAGTGACCGAGTTACAACAAGAACGCCCACAGTCGCTTTTTGGAAAAAACTAAGTTGAAAGTATTTTTACGCTTTAATTGCGAATTTTCTTTTGTCAAATGTTCAAAGTCGAGCGAATGCACTTCGAGAAAAAAATAATCGTTAAACTTTGTCCTTGACATTGAGACTTATTATTGAGAAACAAAACATCAAACCTCTTCTTCTCAATTGAAAACTTGATTCTTTCCTGCTGAATGCGGCCCATATCCCTCATGTACCAAAAGGTGTTAGTAGGAAACTCCATACCTTGGTTTACATAGTCTGAAGATTAGCGATGTTAAAAAATTCAGATCCCATTTTTAGCATTTAATTGACTGTTATTGAAAGAAAATCACAAATTGTAGCAGGGTTATTGTAGAGCACCTTTAAATTTATTCTATTTGGAAATATTGTATCAACAATGAAACTGCAAGAGAGAGTGGGTATCTCGCTTTTCAACATTGCAGACTTCCTTTTGTACCTACATTATTTTTTTAGGAGGGTGAAAATGAAAATAAAATACCTAAGTACCATTTACTTAGTATTTTCTACAATAAATATAATTACATTGTACAGAAAATTAAATAAATTATTTACAGTTTTAGTACTCTGCCCCAATTTTTGAATTTCTTCATTTCCAAAATGTTAACATGCAATTCTTGAACGCTTATTACCTATTTATGCCTTTAATGATTATATGAGTCTTTTGCATCCGATTAGTTATCTTATACAGGTTTTTAAGAGCTGTGTTACTAGGGTTCCTATTTAGTTTAAGAGAGAGTAGAAAAAATAACAAAAGATTACAGATTTTATTATATCACAAAAATTTACAAATAATTAGGTATAAACAGATACTGCTCAGATGTAAAAAAATGAATACTCCAATTAGTTCAGGTAAAAAATATATACAAACGACCTTCCACTTTGTAAATTTATTATGCACTTAGACCTAAATTTTAAAAGAGGAGAAAATAGAAGTTCACTTCTAAAAAACTTAAAATGATAGAAAGTTCAGGCAATGCGATTTGAGGCAACAGGCCTATCCGCTAATAAATGCAAAAAAAAAGAAAATTCCTACAGGCTTGTGACAGGTCAGCAGACAATGCTTAGAATATTCGTCTTGAATAACTACTTAAAAACAACCATTTTGACAACATTTTCTCCATCAATTTTCAAAACATTGTAATTAAAATTTTGAATGCAAGCTGATGAAAGTTTGTCACAAATAGAACAGATTTAGAGGGATCCTGCGCGAAAAATCATAGGATTCAGCTCCAGCTAAATTTCATTATTAATGGGCATGGTGTTCTTCACCTCAGGAGAACATCATATCAAATGATGAGGCAATTTAGCTATTGCCAGACTCCGGTTTTCTGTGCAGGATCTTTTGTGATGATAAGCTATTTATTGAAGAATTTTTGAAAATTATATTGAATACTAATGAAAGGTTGCAGTAGGCACATACATTTATCTTCCAGAATAACATGTACCTTTTAAACTCATGGAGGTAAGACACTGGAAATAAATATCTGAGTTATAACAAGTCCAAAATTGCACAGAGAGTCAAAGTCACTGAAAAATTTTAGAAAACTGGGCATCTACAGGAGGTACAAAAATTACAGAATTTACAAATTTAAATACGTATGAAGAAAAACATTTGCAATCAGAAACAAGCGGGATAAGAATACAAGAAAAAAATGCTTCTTCAAGGTCCTCCGAGTTACAGTTTACTCGGCTCTGAACACAGTGCATAGTTTTTGTTAAAAATTAACTTCTTTACATTTTTAACTTTTTACAACTTCTTATTGAAAAGGATAATAATATAACAGCAGATACTTGTGACATCAAAATTAACAGGAATAATCTGTAAACAATTAATTCTGGTTGCTGTTACTGAACACTTCCGAGTCATCACCTCTTTTAGCTGGGTAATACATAGTTGACAAAATTACTCTTTGATAGACTCAGTATACTCGAGTCCTCTCACTGGGAAAATAAATGTCACTCCTTTCAAATAAAAACTTTGTATGTACATATTTACAAATGAATCACAAGACAAACAGACTACATTATCCAAAATGGAACAACTCAATGGCAAAAGAGCAAAACCTTGTACCTCCGTCTGCTACGTCGCAGACTTCCTGTCATATTTTACTTTTTCTTTGGAAAACTTGTCAGCTTAATTTTTTGAAAACTTCCTCCATATATGTTCTCATTTAGCAGAATATTCTGTATGAATGTCAAGCTAAAAAGTCTGTTTGAAAAAAATAAAATAGGAGCGGAAATTTTGAGACATCGCAATGGAGTATGTGGTCTTGCACTTAGGCCATCAAACTATTTTTGTCTCATTTATGAAACAGCATGCATACCATTACTTTTCCTATGCATATAGGTGCTTTTTTAGGAATGAGCCAGAAATATTAATAATTTCTCTTGTGAACTATAGTCCAAATGCAACAACAAATAACATTATTCAACAGCAGGAGCTTATTTTCCACAAATTATTATTTAAGGCATAAAACAATTGTGATCAGGGGAATTTTGTATATGATTTGCGGCTTTAGAACCAAGTTGCCAATGACAGACCGACAGTGATGAAGAGTAGCAAAATCTTAAGAAAATCTTAATAAAATTTTTCTCTGATGGGATGACAATAATTTATAGAAGTACATGAAAGAAATTTCATATGAGACACTTCACACACAGTTGTATGCATAAGACAATGTAAGGGGCAAAAATTGGCATTTTTAATGCTCTGCTTTTGTCAGATTTGACAAGAAAAGTTTGAAAATTTCATAGAAGGAAAACATTTCTCTTTGGCTAAAATAATATTTAAAAACTAAGGATACTCTGTGAGATGAAAACATTTCTAAGAACAACACGCATTTTTTAAGAGAGGATCAAATTTTCCGAATCAATTATGCAATAATAGAATGCAAAACTATCACTATTTCTACCTAACAAAAGATTTCTCTTCCCCATCAAATGAAAATATTGTTAAGTGACGAAAAAAAGTTGCGATACACGAAATCATCTAAAGTTAGCATGAAACTTCTTTGTTGTAACATAAGTAGTTGTGTGTTGGTACGTAAGTAGTTGTGTTGTACGTAAGATACGATTGCTTCAAATAAAAATGTACTGTTTGATAAAGTACCTAAAATCAGTACATGATAAATTATTCCTTGACATTAGGGTGCAAAATTACAAAATACCTTTTGAAAAATGGAAAAACTCTTGATATCAGCAACTCGCCTGACTCAGTAAATCTCCCCTACCCCAAATCGAACCGAGTTATGATAAATTATCCACATTCTAAGGATAGGGCATTGCAATAAAATGAAAGATCGTTGAAAGTCTACAACCCTGTGCTTCCAGCAAAAAATATAGTGGTTATGAGATAAAACAAAAAAATGACTAGACTTGATGCTCGCAACTAGAGCTCGGAGTAATGTTTCTGTAGGATGGAAGGCAAAACTAAACTCTTCCGAGAAACACACAGGAATCCATTCTGGTACCCCATTGCAAGCCACAAGAAACTTTGACAATTTGGATTCCATGCAACCTGGAAACAGAATTCAAGACAAAATTATTCAAAATGTTGTGACAACACTTTTTAGTTAAATTAAATCGATAAGAAAGACGTGTTTCATAAAAGACCGGTCGTATGAGAACTGAAGAAGAGCATTTAAAAGATTACAGTTTATTATTTCAGATATACATAATTGATTAAAAGGCAACGAAGTTAAAAGTTGTCTTTGGCTGAATGTTAACTCTCTTTATCTTAGCTGTGAAATCAGCCGCAAGGGTCATCTAAAAAGTAAGGTTTACTATTCTGTAACTTCTAAAAGAAAATAGTTAAATCAAAACTGTAAAAAGATACTTGTTACACATATTTTCAGCTTTAGAAAAAGCCCAAGGTTACAGAAGTGAGTCTGAAGGCTTGCGAAATAACTTAATTTAACTGAGACCACTTCTTGTTCCTGTAAACCTTTTTGTTTATACATCAGTAGAGAACAGAAGTTCCCTAAATTGTTTCTCCGATGTAAAGGGTGCTTGGAGCAGAAATGTTACATTCATCTTGATCCTCACACTATTAGCTTCAATTAAACACACTGCTTTGAGTTATGGTTTGGCAGGAATTAGATTATTTGCCCACTAATTACAAAAATGCCACTTAATTTGCTTTTGTTAATGAGATCTCTCACGTAAAATGTAAAACAATGAAATAATAAATACTGTAAGGAAAAAATCAGTAAAATTCACTTAGTGATACTTTAAAAAAATTACTCAAGAATATACTCACTTTATTGACACTACTCAGTGGAAATAGGTTGATTTCATTTTTGGGCACTTGCCGCTCATTTGCACTGGCCGAAAGTTTGAACTCCTCTAACTCAGGAACAAACTTGACACCATACTGTGAGGCTGATTCTTCATAAGTCGATGGCCTTTCTTGGAAGGGTCTCACCTTTGCTTTGGTCTTCACTTTAATAGGACTGCCTGAGTCTTTATAAACAATGACTGTCCTCATTATACGCCTTTTGATATTGCGATGCTTCGTGTCTATCGGGCGTAGAAGCTGCCCAGGCGCATACATTGTTACGTCACCATCACCAGAAGCTACCGCAATACTCCCCGTCCATTCACAGTATGAAACGCTCCAATTCACTGCTGTTTGAGGGATCAACATCTCAACAGTATAGTTGAAATCTCGCAAGGCGTTCATTTGAGCTGCAGAGCCAGCGCTGAATGCGTCATCTGAGGTGGAGATCAGTGTCAGCCAATGGTTCGGCCAAACAAGGTCTGTTATCATATTGTTGTTTCTGATTTTGGTACGGTAGAGACCAATCTGTGTTTGGAAGATAGGGGTTGTTACATTCTTCAGGTCCCACAAACAAATGCCAACTCTGTCAGTACCACAAGTTACAAGGTAGCGGTTATTCTCCAAGACTCCAAACTGTAAGCCTGAAATAAGGTGATTCAGGTGAGAAAAACTGAGGAAGAAAAATAAGCTTAAGTAGGCAGAAAACAAGCCAAAGTTAGCCTTGTACCTTAAGTAGGACCAGATTATTTGAAAATGAAGTAATCCATAGCCCCTAGGGGTTTTTGCCATCTCTGAGTCCCCGTAGCTCCAATTCTAATGGTCATAGATAGCTGATCCTTTATGATACTCACACCACCAGATAGTTCAATGTGCCCATAAAGTTTCATCAACATCTAAGTTGATCATGAAAGTTTTAGCAAATTTTTGGTTGATTTGGTACGGAATGACCCGCCTAAAAAAATTTCCAGGCTGCCCTTTGAGCAATTCAAATCTTGTTTGTATTTTTTTTCAAGTTTTTTTGACTACACCTACCAGTAATTGCAGTGTGATGAGCTTGGAAAACTTGAAAGGGAAGCAAAGAGTCATCCTGTTTCAGTAGCGGGGAAGTTGTATCCAAATTCCAAACTCCAACAAAACCATTAGTGAAGCTGGCTGCTAAAATGTTGTGAGGTTTGACGCGCTGCCATGCTACTCGTGTGCACTGTGCTTTGTCCCCCATTGGCAAGTTCAGAGTGATACGGGGCTCAAACTTATACAGAGGATGTCTGAAAGTTAGATTAAAGACAAAAGGGCATGAAAATAATACAACAAAGGATCAGAGTCATAGAACTAATTTTCCTTTTCTTTTCGGCAAAGTTCCTTTTAAACAATTTAAAAGAGCATAAAACTGCTTAAAGATACCAGGAAACCCCCCATGAGAACTTTGATAAAATATAAAAAAAGTTAAAACATTCACAAGCACCTCCAGTCTTCGAATTTTTTTAAAAATGCTGTGTCTGCGTTGCCATCATTTCTCCATCTTTACATTCCCTGACTTCGAAATTCTCTGATTCCCTGACTTTTCCTGTCCTTCAAACAAAATTTTCACCTATTTTCTTTCTGTTTTGATCATTTTTTTTTTTTTAAAGAAAAGAAGCTTACTTTCACTAGTTTATAAACTTGGGGCAATATTTGCAAATTCAGAGATCATATTATGGAAAAAGGTATTCAGTAGCTTTTAGATATTTACCTTGCAGTATTTCCTGGCATGTTTTCTGGGAGGGGCACAGAATATACTGCTATGATTCCACAAGAAAAACCGATAGCGAGGAGGCCGATTATTCCGTCAAACTTTGTAGCAGGGCACCATTCCATAGTCCATGCTGTGCCATAATCGTGGGTGATCCCAAGGACAAGTTTTGGATTTTCAGCATTTCCGTCAAGATTGCTCAAGCACGGAAACTCCCAGACCTGGATCAACCCAGCATGTGGTGCTGTATTTTGTCTTGTGTAAACTGTTTCCATATCCTGGTGCGTCGATACTGCGAGGAATTGCCGCTGTTCTGTGATGACTGTTGGAGCCCAAGCTAATGACCAGATAGGACCACCAACAAAAATTTTAACGAGATCTTGTTCATTCTCAAATTGAAACAGGCTAAATTGAGATTTATCCACTTTGTTGGCAACATTTTTGATAGGAAACACTGTCACAGATTCGCGGCATTTTGGTAAGTACACATCAAGGGTTTCGTCTTCGATCGGTATTGGATTTTGAATGTTATTTAAGGAGTTAAAATTGGGGGAGTCTCCCAGTTTTTCCCTCACAAATTCCAGTGTCCACTGGTAAGTAAAACCGAATTTACTGATGCGATTAGTCTCTAGCCTATTTGCATCTTTGGGAGGATACAGTGCCACAAAAGGCTCTACAATTCGTTCAGGTACGTAAAAGGCACCTTGTTTGAGATTAATTTTGTGAGCAGTATGGACATGAGCTCCTATTGCTACTTCATCTGATGTTTTGAAAGTGCATAAAGCACATAAGAAATCATCACTCGGACCTGATTGAGGACAAAACTGGAAGTGGTCTTTCAAAGTTGTTAAGTCGGCAGATTTATAGGTGCAACCTGGGTATATACACAAGGCCTCCTCACCTTTGGCAACGGTTTTCTCCCAGTTTCGTACTATGACAGCAGTCAAGCGGTTCTTTGGTTTGTGATGGTAAGCTAGTTTCATATTTTTTGAACCTCCTTTCTTCTCTCTGCTGCCATCATCACTCAATTCTTCCTCCTCTTCACTCCCACTGTCGTCTCCGGCATTGAAATCATCATCTTCACTTTCATTGGTCTTAAATCTTGATTTCTTTTCTTCTTTTGAATCCATAAGACTGTCCGTCAGTTGTTTAATCGTAGTCTCAGCTTTGAGCGCAGCCGACCGTCGCGACCGTGGAGCCCCGCCTCCTGGGCTCTCCTGAGAAACTGCTGCTAGTTTGATGCTTTCAAAAACAGTACAATTTTTCAAGTGAGTTGTCATGCTGGGTCGCATAATCAATTTGTCGCAATGTTCACATGCCACCAAAGCTTTCTGCCTGTCTTCAGGCGGTACACAACAAATGCGGACATGACTCAAGTGACCGATATGGCTCCTTTGAATGTCGCTACACTTGTAACAATGGTATACTTTGGTAATTTTCTTCTTTTTTAACTGAAGGAATTTTGACTGATATTTAGTTAAAATACCCTTCATAAGATTGTCATCAAAGAAGTCCAAAGGCGTCTCACCTTCAATCCAGCAAAGTTTGTAATGTTTTTCTCTATGAACCTTCCAAAAGTTTTCAAAGGTCATTTCCTCTCCGCAAACAGCACACTTGACTTTATCTGTAAGTTGGTATTTAGAGAATAATTCAGGGTCCTCATCTTCATTAATAGTTACTTCACTCAACGGTTCATTACGGTCAACTTTTGACTTACTGGCCGGGCTTTTCTTTTTTGTTTTTCTTCTTTCGTCCTTGCCTTCATTTTCATCAACAAAATCGTCAGTATTGAATTCATTATCACTGTCAACATTTTGTTTCTTTTTCCGTTTTACAGAATCTTTTTTAGGAGGGACATCATCTTTTTCATCTTCAGAGGATCCCTCTGGTGACTCCTTATAAGACACTTTTCGAGATGTGTTGCCTCGATTGGACTCTCCATTAGACGTACTACTTCTGTCATTATAAAACATTTTTTCACTGGTATCTCCTGTTTTCAGCCTGCTGCTGCGAGACCTCTTGCTTGGAAAAGTCTTCGCATCACCATCATTGCAATCCATCTCTGAACTTTCAATGGACTGTTCTTCATTGGCAAGCCTGCTACGCTTGGGCCTCTCACTTAGGAGGATTTGTGAGTCACCTTCAGAATATACTATTTCAACAGATTTTCTTTTTCTTTTCCCAGCACCAATTGTATTGATTACTGAAGAAGCTTCTTCACATTCTTCACTATTTTCTATGGAAATATGTCCACTGTCACGCAACTTTGTGCTTGGTCTGCCTCTGCCCCTCTTCTTTTGAGAAATACCAAGGACAGGGGAACTTTCTACCATTTTAGTCTCATTCATGACAGCTGTCTTTGTGTTTTCTGAAATGGCACCGCTTTTAGGGATTATATCTTTATCTTCTATATCCGCACTAATTTGTTTCATACTTGGCCTACCTCTGCCTCTTTTCTTTTGAGAACCACCAGGGATTGGTGAACCTTCAATCATTTGTGTCTCATTCGAGATAGCCGCCTTTGTTTTTTCTAGGATGGTGCAATTTTCAGGAATTACATTGTGATCTTCAGAGTCCTCACCAATTTGTTTCTTACTAGGTCTACCTCTCCCACGTTTGAACGGTTCTGATTTGCTGGTACTGGAAATACCCTCGGTTCCTGCTCTTTCATTATTATCGAGGCTATAGGCGTCAATGGAATCATTGGACTCTGTATTTTCAGTGTCTTTTTTGTCTTCTCTCGCATTTTCCACAGTCATATTCAATTTTGGTCTGCCTCTGCCACGTTTTTGCAGCTGCAAGCCGCAAGTCTCAGGTGAATTTTCTCTACTTAGGGAATCTAAAGTAAGTTTAGATTTCCTTGTTTCCTGAGAATCATTTCCAATTACTTTCTTGCCTCCTGCTGTAACATTTTTCACAGTGATGTTCGACCTAGGCCTGCCTCTACCTTGCTTTTTCTCTTGAAAATTCCCACTTTGGGCTGAATCTTTTCCCACGTCAGAATCAGCTGTACATTCTGGAATTTCTTTTTCCATAAAAGAATTTTCAGTCAATTTTGTACCTCCTTCAGAAAAGTTCTTCCCTGTTGAGTTCAACTTTGGTCTGCCTCTCCCACGCTTTTCAGTTAGTGAGCCACTGATTAGGGGTGAATTTTTTTCAACATCAAAATCAGCTGTAGATTCTGGAATTTCTTTTTCTATGAGAGAATTTTCAGTCAATTTTGTATCTCCTTCAGAAAAGTTCTTCCCTCTTGAGTTCAACTTTGGTCTGCCTCTCCCACGCTTTTCAGTTAGTGAGCCACTGATTAGGGGTGAATTTTTTTCAACATCAAAATCAGCTGTAGATTCTGGAATTTCTTTTTCTATGAGAGAATTTTCAGTCAATTTTGTATCTCCTTCAGAAAAGTTCTTCCCTGTTGAGTTCAACTTTGGTCTGCCTCTCCCGCGCTTTTCAGTTAGTGAGCCACTGATTTGGGGTGAATTTTTTTCAACATCAAAATCAGCTGTAGATTCTGGAATTTCTTTTCCTATAAGAGAATTTTCAGTCAATTTTGTATCTTCTTCAGAAAAATTCTCTCCTATAGAATTCAACTTTGGTCTACCTCTGCCGCGCTTTTTAGTTATGGAGCCACTGATTAGGGGTGAATTTTTTTCAACATTAGAATCAGCTGTAGATTTTTGGATTTCTTTTTCTATAAAAGAATTTTCCGTCAATTTTGTATCTCCTTCAGAAAAATTCTCCCCTGTTGTATTTAATTTTGGTCTTCCTCTGCCACGCTTTTTGGTTAGTGAGCCACTGATTTGGGGTGAATTATTTTCCAACTCAAATTTAAAAGCTGCATGAATTTTTGAGTGATCTGCAGTATCTTCAATTTCTGATGAAGTGTCATCTTTTTCGGTAACATCTCTTTTCCTCTCTTTTCTGGCATTTTCAGATCCTATTTCCTGCGGATTGTTCATTTTGGATGGATTCTCAGTCATAACGGTTCTCTCAGATAAAATTGTCGCATCTATAGTAGTTGAAATAAAATCTTCCCTCGAGTGTTCACCCCGAGACTTTGATTTTGGCCTACCTCTACCCTGCTTTATTTTCTCTGGGTTATTGATTTCAGACATTTTTTCATTACTTTCTGAAGCAATTGTAGGATTAGACATTTTTTTTGCTTGATCGTCTGCACTTTCAGATGGCATTTCAATGATCTCTGATGAGCTGTCACTGGTCATTTTGGTATTGCGCATGCACTTGTCACTACTTTTCTTCAGTGGATCACTTCCGATGCCTGATTCCTTTTGCATTTCATCTTCACCTAAAAAATGAACCTCCTTATCTTTACAAGAAAGCATACTTTCCGACATCACATCAGTTTTTTCTAAAGAGTCATCGGCAGACTTCTTTCTAGGACGACCTCTTGACCGCCTCTTGTCTTCAGGGATAATTTCTGCCAGAGAATCTTCATTTGATCTGCATACATCTAGTGTATCACTTTGAATTTTAGCTGATTCTATTTCGTTGGTGACCTCCAGTTCTTCATTATTTACAGCAGGCCTATTATCTGGAGGCATTTTCTTCCATCGACCTCGCTTACTACTTCTGTCATGTAAAGTGTCATCAGTTTTAGAATCAATATCTGAAACACACGTACTGGAATGAATACCTATATTTGAAACTTCTAGACTTTCACTCATGCTCAAATCACATGAGTTAATGGTATTTCGACTATCACTAATTCTGCGCTTTGAAACGGCTCTACCTGTCATATTCGAATTAATGTGATCCATATTTGATCGACTATGACTTTGTCGTAGAGCTGAGGAAGAGAGAGTTTCTGAAGAGGTACTTTCACACGACCCAGTCGCACTTTCAGATACCGAAATTGTCGCTGGCACTTCTTTTCCCTCGACACTTCTCTGGTTTTTTCTACGACCCCTGGGTTTTCCACCTAAGACATTCGTTGATTCTTTATCCACATAATCGGAAGTGTTCTCATCATCCCCACAGGTCTCTATGGTGTCACCAGTAGAGGATGGCTCTTCTTCTGGAGGACTTATAGTATCTAAGTTGCATCTTTCTGTGAGCTTCTGCTTGCGACGGTTTTTACCGGGATTTTTCTCTATGCTATCACAACTGGTTGAACTAGTTTTTTCCTGTTCAGCGGCTTCTGTTGAAAGACGGCTCCTCTTCCCTACTGGAGATTTTACGGAAGCAGATCTTTCATCTGTTAAATGAGAAGGTTCGGATGGACTCTTGTCGATTTCCCTTGGTTTTAAAGAATGTTGGGCATTTATTTCTTTGATATCAGTGTTCACTTCCGACTTTGAACCAGTTTCAGACTCCTTAACTGAGCTGGTTCCAGATACAGGGACAGATTGATTAGCTTCAATATCGATTCGTGCTGGTAAATTAGAGGTGCTCATTTGATTTCCTACGATGGAAGAGTGGCGTTTGTTCCTGAATTCATTTCTGGCAACGCAAACGATGAGGTGCCGCAAATGACTAGGCGCATTTTTATGGTTTTCTCTACACTTGAAACAACTAAAACATTTTGGATCATTTTTTCTTGATTTGGTAAAAAGCGACTGATACTCCATAAGAGTGCTCATACACCGCTTCTCATCAAAAAAGTCTAAAGGAGTTTCACCATCGATCCAGCAAAGTTTAAAGTGTCTATCTCGATGCTTCTTCATATAAAATTCGTAGGTCATCTGTTCTTTGCAAAGGCCACATTTTACCGAGTCTGTTGGTAAATACTTTCTTTTCATCGGTATCATCCTACCATTAGATTTATTTGCTTTTGACCTGGATGTCAAAGTGCTTTCTATCCAGTTTTCTTTCTCACTAGGGCTTAACCTTGGTTCTTGTAAACCATTCTCTTGGGATAAACAAACTCTAATATGTTTCAAGTATTCTATCCGACCGTCTAAGTTTCCTCTGCACTTGAAGCAACAAAAAACCATAGAATTCCGTTCTTCCTGACTTTGAAATGAGGACATGTACTCATTTAGAATAGTGAAACAAAGTTCATCGTCCTTCAGATTCACTGGTGGTTTCCCCTCGAGCCAACAAAGCCCATAATGCTCATCGATGTGATTCTGTTCATAAGTACTGAGTTCCATTTCTTCCCTGCATGCTCCACATTTAACTGTTTTGCTGGAGGTACTCTCAGTTTTACCGGTCGAGTCCTTTATTCCATCTGTTACCAAATGCTCCGACTCATTATGGATCCTTTCACAACCAGTTGCAACAGGATTAAGAACAAGACGACCATTCATCAAATCAACAGTGAATTCTTCTGTGATGACATCACTCTGGGGAGTAAGATTTTCTAACAGATCTGATGTAATGGGATGATTGAAATTATTGCTGTTGGCTGAGGCTTCCGTTTGTTCCGAATTTTGACTGTTCACACACTGTTCCGATCCTTTGTTGCTATCCTTGTCATTGTAGGTTTGCTTAGCCAGATAACTATTTGCCTTTTCAGCAGTATTTGTATTGAATACCTCAGAGGAATGTTCACTCTGATCAAATGATTCACAGTTAATTTCCTCAGACACTTGAGTTGGGCTTCCTGGTTCTAGCACATTAACGAGAGTGACAGATTCAATCCCGTCACTGTTGGAAAACTCAACATTCATGGTCTCTTGACATTGGCCCTCAGATGAAATCTGATCAGTCTCGCACTGAGTCTCCGATAAAACAACTTCTTCACAAACAACAAACTCGGACTCATCAATTGTCAAGACTTCACAGTCCGGACTATCTGTGAAATTGTACAAAGGATCTTCTGTCGATAGTTCTTCTGATTCAAGGCCGACTGTTTCTACTTCAGTGATGTAATCGATATCTGACGGCTGCTGGTTTAAACTCGTGGAGCTACCTGACCCTAAAAAATTACTGCTATCTCTTAAAATACAGTTCTTCAAGTGTTTCACGTGGTCAAAGGCAATATCTTGTACTCTCTGACAACGAAAACAACGGAATTTCGTTATTTTTGCACGCTCTGGCTCAGGCAGTTCAGCTGTAAAATCGACTAATAACTTTAGAGAACTTTTTTCATCGCTGAAATTGATAGGTTCTTCTCCTTCCACCCAACAAAGTCCATAATGGATCATCTTATGCTTCTGAAAAGAATCCGCAGCAACTTCCACTCCACAAGCGCCGCACCTTACAGTATCAATATCTCCAGGTAAATTGTCACTAACTTTTGAGCTTGAGGAGTTTAAGAGCCGCTTCCACTCATTTCGGCAAGCTTCAAAACCAGGAGACAAACCAGTGGGAATATTTGAGGTCAAAATTGTTCTAGTGGATGCCTTTCTACACTGCACTTTCTTTTTAATGCTAATGTGCATTTTACAAGGTAATTTTTGTACGTTTTGGCGTAATGTAGACTTCGTCATTTTTGGTTGATTTCTTGCTTGGGAGGCAAGATTTTTTGTCTGCGAAGCTTCTTTCCGACGCTTTCCTATTGACAAATTCCTGGGAATCACAGACTTTTTCACTCGTTTGGCAACATTAACGTTCCATTGCTGTTCACTTGTCACCATTCCTCTCAATGAAGAGGGAGTACTTCTCGAATTCTTGATATTGCACTCCACTAGAAGGGGCGATTCAAGGTACTCTGCTTGGTCACTCGTCGTTGGAAAATCTTCAAAGGCACCTGGTGAACTTGTTGTTTCCCACCTCATATCCTCCCTTTCGTTCAGACCGTTGTTTTCATTTAACTGTTAAAACAGAGATAAGTCTTAGAAAAGAGCAGAAAAAGAGTGATTGAATGAGAGCGAGCAAAAAGTTTTCTTTAACTAATGAAATATTTTTACATTAAGAAAAAAAAAAAATAAGAATTTCATGGAAAACTCAGGACAGTGCTGCGATGGAGTTCTTTCATGCAACAGAGATTTGTGATGTGAGCAATATATCCGATGTAGGTTTTCTCAGAAATATGATGATGCCACTGGTTTTCTCTGAAACAAACTCCTATGCTTATGAGAAGCTTTCAATGTTGAGATAATAATGGAGAGGATCCCTTGCATTATGAGAGTCCACCTCTACATCCTGTCAATCTCCTCATACACAAATAAAGAGCAAATACATAAGCAGAGTTGCTGTGCCTGGCCGATGTGTTGCCTCTCTATCTACACATGGAGAGTTTGACTGTGCGTCGAGGCGGACTCTTTCAAATGGAATAGTAAAAAAATGTCAAACCAATGCAGTTAATCAATGCTGAGATTACAAGAATCAAAATTAAGTAACTTTTCTGCTTTTAGCACTTGTTTCCTTTTTAGGGAAAAATTTGGAAATATCGGATCGATCCACTTATAGACCAGAAGCTGGTTGACGTTAACTTGAATATACATGTCAAACAGTTGATCCAATTTCTAAATCTTCAGCCCATTTAAAAGCTAAAAGTATGTCTCTTGCGTATGTCTTCACAAACTTGATTCACCTTTTTGTAAAACATATAAAATAATAATAGAACATACTTTTGACACGAGCCTTGCAATAAGAATAATAATTACCTTTTTGCAATGGACGAAATGTTGAATCATTTCTGTGACAGAGTCGGTGGAAAACGAGCAGACAGATTTAGGACAACTGCATAGACACATTGTTTCAAGCTGAGACTTCCAATAATCTACTAAACTGCTGAAACCCCTTCCTTCAATGATCGCAAGATGAGCTTCGTTCATATGTTCTTGAATATCTCCGGGGCTTTCAAATCGCTTTTCACAATACTGGCAAATAAACTCATTCTGAAATATAGAGAAAGGGGGAACAAAAATTTAAGGAGGTGTAAAGATTTAATGCGGCAGTGGAGCACCGAACCGCATGTTATCTTTTAAGTAAATTTTGAAAAAAAAAATTTGAAAAAATTCTGTGCAGGTTTAATTTTGACAAACATATGTATATTTTTTAGAGGCTCTTTCTAACTATCTGAATACATTAGGTTTAAAAATTGGACTTAACAAGTGTTGATAAATTTGAGAAAACTTTGAAATTCTGAGAAAATTTTTGTTAAAAGTAACTTACATTAATCTTGAAGTATGAGTCTTCAATTTGCACAAGAGGTACATTATATTCAGGCCTGAAAAAAGAGAACATTATTGGTGGATAAGAAAGAATTGATACCAAGGAGAAAGTTCTGCATTCTTTGCCTGTCTTCTTCGCGTGTGAATTTGACACTCGCTTTGCCAGTTTTCATTGCCTAGTAGGACCAACTACTGAAAGTATCCATTGGGTGGCCTGGGAGTCAAGGTATTATGCGAAGTAGGGAGAACATTGAAAAACTGCTAAGCAGAGAAGATTACATTTTTTCCCCAGAGAAAAAATTTATTTTAACATGATCAATAATTAAGTATTTTTTGCTGTAGCAACATTTGACCATGGCAACAATTGAACTTGATTCCTGGATCAGTTGGACAGAGTACAGCAGAGCAGAGCCAACTGTTATGACTTTACGTATTTTCTGAACAGTCCCCAAAGAACGGTGAAATCAAGACCAATCCACAGAAGTAAGGCACTGCGCAAAGTTTTGCGGTCAACTCCAACGCCCAACCTTCATTTGACTGCAGCCAGTATGACGTAGAATTGGCTTCTCCCATTAGAAATGCATTGCATTCAAAATTCACAGGAATGACTGAGTTGTGTTGATTAATCTTGGTTGAAATGAAAGTATTTTGAACAAAATATTATTTACAGTATAGATCCCAGGGCTTCTGAATTTGTGGAGTGTGAGAAAAACACGTGTTTTGACAGTAAATCAATTGATTTCGTCCAACCGCTACAGAACGGGCACTCATATTTTTGTGCAGTTGATGATTCCTGCGGAAAAGAAAAAATATACTATTAATTCACTAGCATGAAAATTGGTAATTATTTCGGATAAAATATTAAACTTGTCTGATTTTGACTGCAAATGGGAAAAAAATGAAAGAAAATGCCAAAGCAAAAAAAATTGAAATTAGGTATACTGATTTGCAGAACATTCCTTTCATTTCTGATGGTTTTTAAAAGTAAACTGAATTATTAGAGGAGGTACTTTTAGGGAAGATTCTCCTGATGAAATGTTTAAAAACAAGTTGCTCTGCTCCTCAAGTTACCAAATTTTTTCTCTGTAAAATGTTTTGCTACATTACAAATAGTTTCTTTTTCTCCCAAATAATTACCAGAATAAAGTTCAGTGAGATTCATGATAGTCCCCCGAAAAATTTTACAAGAAATATGATGGCGTCCTGCGTCCTGTCCAAGGGTCCACTCCTGAACTCACAGACAGACTTCAAAATTTGAGATTTTCTACCTTTAATAGGTTTACCTCTAAACCATGGCAGAGTTCCACATGGTGATACCTAGAAAAAAGGTTTGACACGTGAACAGGATTGCCACTCTGAGAAAGAAGTCTGCCAAATTTCATGCATCACGCCCAAAAATTTCAGTAAACAATCGCAGAAACTCACAATTTAATTTTTAGCTAGAAACTTTATTCAAAATGAGAGAATTTGATTACAAATTCTGAACACTCAGAATCTTAGGAATTCCATCAGTAAACATACAGAAAAAATCAATTGATTACCTATTGAGGCAAAATAAGGTACCAATTTCATTGGCAAGTTCAGCTTTGATTCAAATACAAGTACTTACTTTTAGACATGCAGAATGATGCTGAGCTGTACTTTCAGTGTGGAACGTCAAACAGGCGCAACGGTTGCAGCGGACAAAACCCTTTTCCTCTATGAGATTTTTCCATGCATTTAAGACCTCTTCCGATTCTTGAAGGTCAAAGTTGTAGGTGCTACGCAAGAGACAAATCAACACTTTGTAACTAAGCGGAATAAGACATCGCTCTTGCTTTAACATAAGTAAATTTCTTTTAAATCTTTATTGATAGTAAAATGCAGGAGGCCAGACAACTTTTCTGCTGCATTAAGTTGGTTGACATTAAATTCAGTCAAGCGGTGTTAATGCTACGGAACGAAACAATCCCATAGATTTTTTGATGCATTCCATTTTAAGTCCGCTAAAAAAGCAACACTGCATGTAGAGCAACTTTATCAGAAACCAGCTAAGCCGTATTTCAGAGAGGAATGAATAAAGAGTAATTTTGAGTCCAGAAAGGTAGTTGAACATTTTCTCCCATCAAAATTCAAAGTTGAGGAAAAATATTTTGAGAGTAAAAATAGCTATTAAACTTTTTCCTTGACTTTGACTCATAAGGATGAATAAAACCACCAAACCTCGAACCTTCAAACCTCTTCAACCACTCAGGCTTGATGCGACTTGTTACATTTTGTCTACGTTTGAAATATCTCATTTGCAGATTTTTTTCTTCGCCCCTTCGCATTTTTCTAAAGTGCTGCTCATCTTAGCGACAAACAGTTACAACAGGATTTTACTGGACACTTCCAACCAATGAGGTGGAAGAGAGATTAGAGACAGTGTGATGTAACTTAATAACACAGTCCAAAAACTCAATTCTTATAATGACATACTTCATGAACTTCATACTTCATTGCAACTTGAGAATGGGTCCCATCAGTGAAAGCAGAGATTTCCTCTTAATACCTCAAAACAAAAAATTAGCAACATGCTGAAGGACTGGCTGAGGACTTGTGGATACACTGTGCATTTTGTTGAATATTTTTCCTGATGAGTATTTTTGTCAGGTGGCTAAAATGAGGACTGGCTCTAAAATGGATTTGAAACAAAGCTATGAAATTAAATGAATTGACTTACTTCACATTTTTCACATGGAATTCGATTGCATCGCACACTGTAGTATGATGTAGAAATGTTAGGGTATTGTCGAGTATGGAGCCACAAATACAAACAGCTCTGAACTTGGAAGGAGCCTGTTCACAGATTAAATTGTTTATGAATAAATTGAAGTCATTAAAGTAATTAAGTAAAATAGACCCTCTTGGGAAATAATTTTAAAGGTATGATGATATATGAGGGTCAAAACTGTACGTAATAGGTAGCTTTCACTTGATAAATAGTTTAATGTGGACCACCCTTGAATTGTAAGCTCAATTTAAGGTGATTCTAAGTGATCTAGGGACGAGACTTGCCACTACATTGCACCGTTACATGGTTTGTGTCTTTGAGAAGCAATAATTATCGTCACATCCGAGTTATGGCAAGAAACTGATCCATAAAATGTATGAGCATTAATACTGAGTTAAATAGCATTGAATTGGTCAAAATTTATCAAAAATTTATATTAGAAACATGATGGACATCACCCATTTACTCAACGTGTAAGAGAGTGATAACGTGATAATAACTTCAAGGCTTCTGTGAGCTGGCCTCCCCAATTTTCACAGCCTTTCCATTTCTCCTTATCATAATCGCAAGATTGGGAAGTTTGTGCACTCCTATTCTGCTTGAGAACCTGCTACCAGAAAGATAAAATTGTTTCACATGCTCAACTGACCCAATGCTACTTTTTCTGTCGAGTATTTTAGATAATTTGGGATAAGAGATATGTTACTAACTTTTTTACACGAGGTTAGGTGAGTGGTAAATGGGAACAGTTTCTTCAGAATTGTATTGCATTGGAATGGACAGCAAAGGTAACCATCACTCCGCCATCCTACCAGAAGAGCTTTCATGTTAATTGTGTCTTTGATGCACACTTCTGCCTCATTATTTGTTCCTCCAATTTTAGCATCTTTCTCAATGATCCTAAAACCAATTATCGTGACTTACAAAAATGATCAGTGAATTTAAGGTTAAGATAGCAGCATTACCATGTAACCAAGAATTTAAAAAAATGGAAAACTTACATGGTTCTTCATGATCAGGCATTTTTCCTTCACAGCTTTGCAATTGAAGAATACAAAATTACTTATTGACGGTCAAAGTCCGAAACCACATATCGTCACCCTCCGGCCAAAGTATTACAAGTGCCGTGTGACATTCAAAAATGACCAGCCTGCCATTTTCTTTTTTTTGCAGAGGAATTGTTGGTTGAATCTGTTTGAAAATTTCACTGAATTTTATTGGCAGCACAAAAAAAATTCAGTGAAATTTTCAGACAGCTTTGTAGAACAATTTCTCTGTAATAAAATATAATGGCGGCAGAGAATTTTAAACGCCGCATGGTGCTTGTGATACATTGGCCGGAAGAGGATGATATCTCCATTGCAATGTTTCAAAATTTATGATCCCAATAAATCGTTTCGAGGAGAACATAGCAATTTTAAAGATTGATATTTAGATTGAATATTTTACTATGAGAGAAAAAAAGTCAATTTTACAAGATATTATGTTGATTAGTTAATCAAAGAAAAAATAAAGCATAACAAGGAGTCTGCAACGTTGCTAACAAAGATAGGTGCTTATACACTTAGTCCATTGATATACTGCTTTACAGCTCTTGAATTTTGGACACCCCATGCCAAAGTAATGATTGTCCCTTATAGTTTCATTTTTTGAATACCTGTTAGTACCCCAGAGCCAAATAGTACCTAATTAGGGGGAAAATCAAGTTAAGTAGTGGCATTTTAGAAATCTCCAATGACGGTTTTGTATGTGTTGTTAATGTGGTAGCCTTATCTTATGCCAGTTATAAGATATGGAGTTTCCAAAATTGCAATTCACATAGGAATCAACTGGGCCAACTCAACGTACCCAATGATTTCTCGCAATTTTTCCCTGATATCTCAAAATGACTAAAATGGAGTTGAGTACTTTTTGACTCTAGGGCACTGATATGCAGTCCAATAATTTCATTACACATGTGAAATTCCAGAAATGAGTTCCATGAAAGGGAGTCTCAAAAAATCAAAATGTAAAGACTTACGTGGTGACAACATCAGACAGAACATGTGAACGCTGAATATGAGTATTTAAAAGGTCTGCCGTTGTTGTTTGTCCTTTGCAGAACGGACACTCGTATGCTGCGCCTAGATTTTTCTGAACAATAAAAAAAAGTGCAATAAGAAAGAGATTAACTTTAGAAATAAAATAACTCACAAAGGTCATGTAAGGGTCAAGTTCTCTGTTTTATATCCTGGAAGTTAATTAATTAATTAAATCTGTTAGAATATACTTTGTGCACAATTTATCAGCCTTGACTAAGCCCAATATTCTCAAAATCGGTCCAGGGGCTTGGAAGAAAACTCAACTCACTGAGACCATTCCCTGCCGCCACAAGCAAACCACCCCACTTCCCAGTGTAATGGTGGATTGTGCATAAGTTACCTAACTTTTTCCTTGAAGGCAAAAGGAGCTGTGAGCCAAAAAGTTACTTGAATGTTAATCCTTTAATTTTTAACTTAAAATTTTTGCATTGGACTGATAAATTGGTTTGTCAAACAAACTGATCCTTGGTCTAATTATTGATATTTTTTTGTCTCATAGGATTTCTCCTGGTATGAGGAACCTAAGACGGGTCAAAGACCGAAGTCTCGGGCCCTTCTTATTAATTTATTTTTTTTTTACCTTGGAAGAAGGAGCTCTTTCTGTTATATGTACCACTGATGGGCTACAGGCTACAGTCAGCATTACACTCGCTTGCTTGAAATTAACTACTTGAAGTAAAATGGGACACAGGACAAACAATGGAAAAATTGATGAAAAACTAAAAAGTTGCAAAAAGAAATTAATTGATATTAAAAAACGACCTGACAATACTTGACGTTCTTATAACAATGGACTAATGCATTAATTGGAGCGGGTAACTCTTTATTCCGAGGTTTTGAAGAGTGTTATCATTATTCTTAAAGGCTAAAAACTAACATTAAGCTAAATAGCTGATTTATTTTTAATAAAACTAAGCTACCTAACACTCATGTACAATGGTTGTAGTATAATTTGAACAACGAAAAAAAAAAAATATTATTAAGTTTTCAAGCTTAATTTTCACATTAAATATAATACTCAAACATTAACTTACCCCATTACAGTATCCATAATGTCCTTTCATTTCATCGATGGATAGTGCTATAAATTTGCAGCCTTGCAAGTGACACCGAATAAAGCCATCTTTCTCCAAGAATATATTCCATGAATTAACATGAGCTTTATGGAAAGCTCTTTTTCTGATGTAAGTATTCTTTGATGGGGCCCTTATTTCTTGCGCCTGAAGTGCTGGGACCTTTATTTCTTGAGTTTGAATTGCTGGAGCCTTTACATCTAGATTCTGGACGGCCAAAGAGAAAACAGTTTCATTATTGACTGACAAAGAAATTACATCAGTATTTTGGCAGTATTCTGTAAATCATTTTATGCCAAGAGACCTCTTTTAAATTTCAACAAGCAAGAGGTGGATACCAAAAGATCCGAGGAAGTGTCTTTAGAAAACTATTTCACAATTTTTAGTAGTTAGTGAAAAACATTAAGTGGGACTAAGAGGATTTGATTGATGGAGCCCTTTAGGTATCTTCCGATTTTAGACATAAAACGCAGGGATGCAGAAGCTTCGCGCTCCTATGAGCTTGGATTGCAGGGAAGATGGGAGAGGCTGTGGAAATTTTTGTTCCGTTAGGATCCATTTGGTACATTAAGTAAGCTAAATATTGAGAAGGAAATTGATGAGCGCCTTGTTTTACTCTGCTGGAAGTCTTTCAAGTGCGCTGCTTTTGGGGTGAGCAACTGTTATGCGCATTGTTTTAGGTGGAAGGGCAATTCTTGTAGACATTAAATTTTAGGGAGGGCAAATTATAAAAATTTTAAACTTTAAATGTGAAAGGTTAAGAACTTTCTGCACCCCTGCATAAAAGGATAGAGAAATTTATGAGAAAGACCATCCCTCAAAAAGTTCAAGCATGAGATTTTACTACAAAGAGCCAACACGGTACCTCTATCTGTAGAGGGAATCAGTACTTTTGTTTTGAAAGCTAATAAATTTACTTACCCCTCTACAATATCCAAAATGTTCCTTCATTTCATCAACGGATTGGGCTGTAAACTTGCAGCCTTGGAAGTGACACCTAATGAAGCCATCTTTCTCTAAGAATATTTTCCATGAATTAATGTGAGCTTTATGGCACGATCTTTTTCTAGTGTAAGTTTCCTTGGATGGGGCACTTATTTCTTGATTCTGAATTAGGTAAAACCACATTTATTATTAATTAACAAAGAATCGCATCAATGCGCCAACAAAGAGCAAAAGTCTCAGCAATTAATCATTTTATTCTAAGATCCCACTTTCAAATTTCAATATGCAAGAAGTGGACACCAAAAGCAGATCTAAGGTGTAGGATTTTAGGAAAATTTTCAGCCATTTTGAGAATCTGTAGCTGATAAAAACATGATAAGAAGGACTATGAATGCTTGAATTGATTAAGTTTCTTTATCTCATGATTAAAGACGAAATGGGATTGAGAGTGTGAGGGAGCCCTCAGATAATTAAAGTCTAGGATTTAACTACTAAAAGCTAACACACTGTCTCTGTATCAGGAGGAATTCATTGACTATTAACATTCCGAGGCAGTTTTCACTCATAGGAATAGGGTTCTTGATATCCATAGCTATTTCATGCAATAATCAAATGCTAAAATGGCATGACGAACAATTATAGTTCATAGGATTATAATTGGTGACATAGTAGAGCAAATTTGAATTTATCAGGGAGGATCAGAAAATTTTGAATTACTTACCCCTGATGTGCGAGACGGATGCCCCTCGTCTTCAGATGAACCAAGCTTCGCCACATGTTTCACTCTGTCCATTTCAACTGGATTTTGGCCTAGAGAATTGTCTCCTGTTTTGGCAGTAAGCAAAATTTATAAATGTTTACAAAGCTGAAATGTGCAGTGAAGTAAGCGTTGATAGGTAAGCCTCTACTTAAATCATGTACCTTGATTCTGCTTAAAAATTTCAACATGCAGAGGAGAAACAATACTTTATTGCTAAACATTTCACATGATATTCTTTAAGGCAAAGAGATAAAAAATAGGCATTTTTATATGATGCTTATCAACTTTCAGGTTGAAAAATGAGGTACATCATCAGACTTCCCAGATTGTTATAGAAAGTCTTACGAGGTCTCTTGATTTCAGCCAACACTATATTTCTCAGAGTAGAGGTCCACCAAAAACTTTCTTCTTCCGCTTTGAAAACCCTCCTCATTGTAGAGCCAAAGTTCACATTGAATATACAATTTGCCTGCGTAGTAAGAGAGATAGACAAATTACCTATTCTTGGCACCGCTTCTTACTGAGAGACAGTAACATCATTTCCCGTTTAATGGCTAGGTGGCTCCGTAAGTACATGGTTAATGGACAGGCATGGCAGTAAGCTGGACAGTTTGCGCGGAAAATTTGAGACTGAAACAAAAGGAGAAAACATTGAGAGACGTTAAGATTCGGGGTAAATTCGAGTTGATGACTCAGTGGTAAGAACCAAGCAATGCATTATGCGGAATAAAGGGTGCAAAAGGTAGCTAGTAGGTTGCATCATGTATGTAGCCGAAAAAAATTATGTACCTACATTGTAATAGTATACGGTGTTAAAGAGGTGAGACACAAAACCTACCTATGGCTCACATTTGCTTGAGGAAAAATAGCTTAAATCGGTTTGAAGATACGGCTCGTCCATTTCATGACTGAAAATGATAACACGAAAATTAAAATCACACCATGTTTCACACGTAAGTATAAGTGTAAGTTAATCAGAGTCAAAGTTAGGTTATGTGTTATGTTTGGTGCCTTACAGAAGGCGGGGAGGGGTTGGATTAGGGAGGGAGTAGGACAGAAAGGAGGGGAGGGGAGCAGAGTGACGTTTTGTTTTGGTTTTTGTCCTGCTATCAGTCTCCTTCCTTTTTTTTATTTGTGATATCAGGAAAAGAGAAGAGAACGTCGTTTTAGTCGCTCAAGTTCATTATTAGTCATCTTTCTTTGTTTTTTGTCAATGATTTAGAGTGAGTTCATCCTCTTCATCAAGTTGTCCCTCTAGTAGTTCTTAATTTTCAGTCATCATGGGAGCCGTTCTAGGCTTATTCTCTGCAGCCTCGGTAAGATTAAGTTCTAAATTCTACTTCTATCTACCGTTGAAGTTGCCTGGTACCTTGATCTCAACTAGGAATTGTTTCCTTTTCTTCAGCACAAGCTTTGTCTCTCTGAGTCGAGATCTTGATCTCGTCACTGAATACAACCTGTACCCTTCACCCTGATCATTGAACATAACTTACAGCTACCGTACCTTCTTCGTGAAATGAAACTCTCACTTTGAATAAAGCAATACCATTCTCTAGCATCTCCAATTCTATCCTCTAATCAATGTGGAACTGTTGGAGATGCAGGTGCAGTTTGAATCTTGAGTTGCCCCAACCATTAGTTTTGAATATAACCCAAGGTAACCAAACGAATGGTCCCTGTATAAACTGAGGTGCCAAAGTAGTTTAGTTTACGAACTTTTGAGGTCAAGCTTTACGGACAGCTATCATTACAAAACCAGCCTTGACCTCCTGTATTTTTTACTGGTTCAAAGGGTTCGACTGAAATCCTTGCCTAGTATGTAGAGTCCACGCCAAATAAGTTTACACACTTCTAAACTGACACTAAGACAGGAGATTGTCTGATGTTCCTTTTACATTTAAAGGATTTGGTAGAATCAATATGGCGGATCTTCTGTGGCAGTCTAAAAGTTTGTAAGCATATTCTGCATGGACTCTACTCAGACATCTGAAATTTTGACCACAACCTTGTGCGCAGTGCTGTCACTAGAGGGGACTCATCGTATGTTGAGACAAATGTCAATCTTTGATTACCTCTGAAATAGCACCACTCAACAGGATAATACATGTAGTCAGATGGCACCACTGATGAGTGGTGATCTAAACGATACGTGACTTTTGTCTCAACGTAGGACGAGTCTGTTCTAAATGATTCTCATTTTGAAGAGTTATGAATTAAAACTAACAATTTGATCATCAGAAGTATTGGAAGCTGAAGTGGTTAAAAAGAATCTCTTGTAAGGACTTATATTTTTGCTCGGTAGAAAATATTTCCTTGTGCAATTCTGAGTTCCTATCATGTCCTCACATTTTATTTTCCTCTACCCTCAAAGGTAAGTTCAACTCACACTTGCACTAACTGGTGGCGAAGGTACCTTGAAAACATATTAATGATGGAAACAGTGGGCTAATTACGGGTCACCAAAGAGGCTTACATTTTGATTGATTATAACCTGAGAAAAGTGATGTCTGAAGAATCAATGGAAAATCAATTTTATTGATATGTTTTTTACTAATTTTCTAATGTAATTTTTTCAGATGGCTTGCTGTTGCGCAAGTTCAGCAGCAAGTCTGTGCTGTGCAGTGTGTCCATCCTGCCGCAATTCAACCTCAACTCGCCTGATGTATGCTGTCATGCTGCTTGTCAGCACTATCATCGCTGCGTTAATGCTAGCACCTGGTCTTCAGGATATGCTTCAAAAAGTAATGTTCTGTCTGTATTTAACTTTGTCTCAAAGGCACCAATTTAAACTCATTCCTCTATTTTTTATCCCTCCTTCTAGTTGATATTACCAACTGTCTCTGGAACTTGAAGAAATCTTCATGATTTTTTGCCAAAATTATCATTCAGACCCTTTATCAAGCCGCAATTAGGTACTCCAGGAGAGGATGAGAAAAAAAACTCAATCACGATGCATTTCATAAAGTATTAACCCTCCAAGTGCCAAAACTGAAGGATGTGAGAAGCAGGGTGGGCTTGGAACAGACTGTTAATGATATCCCTTATTGCTCCAAAAAAAGGCTTTTTCATCAGCATGTCCAGAGATTTGTGTAGCAATACCATTCTTGAATTTTATGCTATAAATTGAGCTGCACACAGTCCAATTTATTCCAAAAATGCTTTTTTGTGTTGACACAATGAATTCATCCTTCCAAGAGTGTTCATTTTCCCAATTTTGCAATGTTATGTTTTGCCGGAGTGAAATTCTCATTCTACAAACTATTTCAGGTGCCGTTCTGCCATGGGACAGGACAGGAGAATAAATCAATCTCAGCTCAAATTAGTGATTTCATTTCACCCTCCCAAGCTTTACCACAGTTTGATTGTCAATCTGCCGTTGGATACATCGCAGTTTACAGAATATGCTTCACTGTTTTCATGTTCTTTGCCTTCATGGCCATTATTATGGTTGGTGTCAAATCCTCAAGGGACAACAGGGCAGCCATTCAAAACGGGTAAGTATATTTCCATCAGAGTGCTTTTAGGTCCCTAATTTTAAGGACAGGGTTGTAAAGTTTGTAAATGGACCGAGTTAAACAGAAAGGAACCAAGCCACATCAGTTATTGCCAAATTTAACTGGGCAATTTAATTTTTTACACGAAAATGTTCGCGTGAATTTTCTCCATAGTAAGAGGCAAATTCCTTAAAATTTTCAAAGGAATCTGCACAAACATTCTTGCGTAAAAAATCAAATTGCCTACTTAAATATGTCAACAGCTGACGTGGCTTGGTTCCTTTCTGTTAAATGCGGTCCAAATAGTCCTCAATTTTTATAGCTGGTTAATAAAAGTTGGCAAATTGTTGAGATCCAAGCCAATTCTAAGATTGCAGTTTTTTGTCATTGCCCATCAGCAAGTGAGAGACTCCCCTGCCAATAAGATGTTACATTTTGAGGCTCAAGACCTCTAATTTTGTGGGGGCAATTCCCAGTTTGGGGTTGTTGTGGCAGGAAAGAAAATTTTGCACCTTTAGTTTCAGGACTTTTCCCACATTGCTGCAGGTATTCCGAATTTTAAATAGTATCTCCAACAAATACACTGGCAAGATGTTTTCTCTCTTTTATCCTTAAAATTTTTAAGAGGCTCCTAGACCAGCAAAGTTTAAAAAGTACCTAAATTCTTCATTTTCCACCTTTCAGTTTTGTCTTATTCTCCCCTCTGAAATTCTTGCTGTACATGCTGCCATTCTTCTGAAGAACGGCATAAGAAACAATCAGGCCGGATTTTCAAATAAAGAGCTACTATTTCGGACACACCGTAGAGACGCTGTTTGTGCCATTTAGGAGTTTCTTTTCGAATATAAATGCCTTTGTGGATGTGTCAGAAGTAGAATCTCCTTATTACAAAATTTGGCTCAATTTAATTTACCCAAAACCCCAATTTAAATATCAACTGGATTGCATTTTGCAAGAAGGAACTATGCGTATACCAATGTCGCTAAAATTGTGCAACTTTTTTTACTTTGCAAGTATAAATTTATCATACTAGCAAGTTTTATCCTGACTCCCAATAAACTATAAATTCAGGACAAGAATACCTTTGTAAATTCAATTGTTTGCATGATATAGTAATTTTTTTGCAAAGAATGTAAGTTGTACAATTCTAGCAACGTTAGAATGCTCTTTGTTCCTTTTTGTAGAATGCAATCCAACTTCAAACATAAATTATGGCAGTAAAAGAAAAAAATGTAAATGAAGACAAGAATAGAGTAGAATAAAGAAAATGACGTAGAAAGGAAAACAAGAGAGTTACAGTAATTATATATTCTCAGTGAGCTGCCGCTGCTATTGCGAAAGACATATTTTATTGGCTACCTTAACATTTGTATCGTCACATAATTAATAATTATGAAAAAAACTGGCTACCTGGGAGAGTCACGAACAACCAGCTCCCTAATTTAGGTACTTAATTTCAAATATAGATCCTCCCTGAGGAAAACTTTAAACTCATTTACTTGTATTCCTCTTTTCCTGTGAATAGATTTTGGGGACTGAAGTACCTTCTAATTATCGGCGGAACCATTGCTGCTTTCTTCATTCCTAAAGAACATCTTGGTTTGCCGTGGATGTATTTTGGTATGGTCGGTGGTCTTCTATTCATTCTTATCCAGTTGATCCTCATTATTGATTTTGCGCACAATTGGGCTGAAAGCTGGGTCACCAACTTCGAAGAAACTGAATCCAGGAAATGGTACGTAATATTTTTTCCTACTTTTAGCCCTCTGTGAATGTTGTAGAAGACAGGAATTGGCTCATAAATAGGTGTTTTTTAAGGTAACTTTTCACAAGAAATGTGTCTCCAAGCTTGAAAAACCAATAAAAAGGTTTTTTGACCGGGAATATCAAGCTTAAAGTTTGAATTCTGAAAAGAACTTTTTTGGTTAGACTAGTGCTTATGAGGTTACATAAAGGGACAACCCATGAGCTAGTGTCAATTGATAAATCGAGCCATCAATTTGACAAGGTCAAAAACTTTTTCCTCAAATACCAGCAGCCTGCATATCTAATGGAATAATTACCAACCATGTTGACTAATCAGAGCTCACCCTTCCTATAAAATACCTGTAGGCTGCTGGTATTTGAAGAAAAAGTTTCTGGCCTTGTCCATTTAAGGCTCAATCTGATTGTGTGACCTTAGCTATGACTTCAACCACATTTAATCCAGTGTAACTTGGCTGCCGTGAGATTAAAATTGTAAACGAACAAATTCATTGAAAAAGAACGTTACAAATACTCACTTCCAACAGGGATAATGATGCTCATGAAATATACCCTCGTATTGCAGTTACATCTTAAAAGTAAAGAAGCGAAAGCTTGTATTTATTTATTCTTTGTATATTTTACCAGGAGTATAATTCAGTCACATTGAACACTGCTCAATTCCAATAGGGGGAAAAAAACTTTATCTGCTTTTTGGACTCTTATTCCTTCTTTTTTTTCCATTGAAAAATTTCACATATTTTCTAATTCTGTACATTTCTTCTCTCTTTTTTCTAAAAATTCTTTGTTTCCTATGTTCCAGGTGGTTTGCCCTCATAGGTGTTACCCTGCTGAATTTCACTCTTACCATCATTGGTGCATTCTTCCTATTTTCTCTTTACACGGTAAATTTTAACCAAGTTTATGTTTTCTGCTTTCCCAGTAGTTCCTACTTCTGCTCATCTCTTAAAACATTTGCCAGTATTTAGATATAAATTACCTTCTACCAATCAATTTTCGTATCAGATCATGAAAAACAAAACTCCCCCAGATATATAGAAATGTAAGAACTAGCGATCAAGACGATAGACTTTTATTAATGGAATGTTTCCACTTTTCTGAAAAATATCAACGTAGGGGGAACGCTGAAATTTTGGTTTCAGGACATTCCGTCGACGCTCCTGTTTTGTCCGGTAGTTTACGTCCAAGCGTAAAACAAGCAACAGCGACTTGGTCCAAGCGTTATATTTTAGTCCGTATATAAAATTGTATTGACAATTAGGAAATGAGAAAACTGAGAGAGAAGGAAGAGTTGTTATGGTAACTCATTTTTCAAATTTAATATTACTTTCTCCTTTTGAATTATCTTTTCAAATTGTCATTGGTGAATATTTGATTTTATTTTTATCCTTAAAATTTTTGATAAAAAATATTAATCTCAATGAGCCGTAGTTGCATTGAAAGAAACTATACAAAAATGAATAGAAGAGGGAAAAAAACCAAGAAGTACGCAATCTTTGGTTTTAACCCATTTGCACATCGATTTTATAGAGTCAAATACGTCCAATTTTGAGCGTTTGGTTGCCTACACACCAAGCTGCAGCACAGTAAAAGTACAAAATTTAAAAGAAAAAATTAAAATGCTTTGGAAATCATTAAATTTGACATGGAACCACCTTAATATTTACAAAATACGCATTATATTTTCCTGTAATACATATATTTTTTCATCAATTTAAATGAGACTAATCCATGCAGAGTGTGCAAACATTTCAAAATCATGAGTTGAAAAACGCAATTGAGAAATACAGAGCGGAGCGGCGTGCTGCCCGCGCGAAGCGTGCACTAGCGCCTACGAACCTAAATGGATACTTCAAGCATTGCATAATGCGTGAAGTATCCCTGTAGGTTTGTAGGTGCCAATGCCTCGGCAAACAACTATTGCCGCCTCAAACAACTATTCCACAACAGTGGAGTCTCATAAAAAAATGAAGGCGCTCCAACATATTAAGAATGAAAGGTATCCCCTAAGAGTACAGAGCTTTCCTCGCAAAATAAATCAAGATACTACAGAGGAATTCGAAAAATTTACCAAGTCGTAGCATCCATATTTATGTATCGTTTAGCAAAATTTTTGAAAAAGTGACTCAATTTAGGCAAAAACATTCTTGAGTATGCTGTCAAAAAGATTTTATTTTGAATCAAGAATAAAATCGTTGAATGAAAGCAGGTTTCTGCTTGATGTAAGTGACTTATCTTTTTATGTAAGCATCTTTTCTTCTTTAAACAAGCATTCTTTTCTTTATTGACTCAAAAGGAAATATTTGTGGTAAATTTGAGCATATTTCTGTTTGAATCAAATCACTAATGTGGATTGATTTGATTGTTTCAGTCGGATGGCTGTTATTTGAACAAATTCTTCATCTCTTCCGATCTCCTCCTCGTAATCGTTGCTGGCTTTACATGCATTTCACCAGCGGTCCAAGAAAGACAACCACGATCAGGGCTACTTCAAACCTCCGTTGTGTCTCTCTACACAATGTACTTGACTTGGTCAGCTCTCTCCAATAGCCCTGGTAAGCCAAGATTTTTAAAGGCTACAAACTTAATTTTCAGCAATATTTGCTTTATTTGTTGAATCAACAGTAAAGGTTTTGTTTCTTTTTTCCTTTTTTTCTTCTCAGGAATATTGGACTGACTAGTTTCCTTCTTTACTTTTAAAGAGAGGAAACTTGAATGAAGGCTCTGATGAAACTTGGTGAACATCATTGCATTTTGTTCCTTTTTTGTTGCATGAACTCTGCTATTGGATATTTGTATTTGATGAACCCTGTCTGTTTTTAATTAATGTCTTTGTCATATTTGTAGACAAAGGCTGTAACCCTGGCTTCATACCCGGTCTCAGCAACAACACAAGTGCAGTTCATTTTGACGGGCAGAGCATGATTGGTCTTCTCATTTGGGCCTGTTGTGTCATATATTCCTCGCTAAGGAGTGCATCCAAGTCTTCAAAATTCACCATGTCCGACAAAATCCTTGTTGATGATACCAATGAAGGAGGTGAGTCAATTAGGAATTAATATTTCTGACTCATCTATTAAACCACCTACCTGCATAGTTCATTTCCAAATTTTATCTATTTAATACGTTGCGTGCTTTTGTCAGACTCTTGGGTCTGGCAATAGAGTACCTGTACAGGGAGAGTATGAGCATGTCCATAATTTTGGAGTTTTGGTCATGGAGCTCTTAGGGCCCAAAAAGGCAACCAACCTATGAACTCAAATTATCCAGAATGATTTATCATCACAATTGTTACAACCTGTCATTTGTAAAGGATGTATTTGACTTAGTTTTTGCATAAATTTACTCCATGGTGTCTAGTTTTTCAAAAACCGGGAAAAACCGGAATTCATCAGGGAATTAAAATTTACCGGGAAAATCAGGGAATCTATTCCAGAAACCGGGAATAGTGTAGAAGCTTCCATTGACCAGATAATATCAACATCAGGAACATTTTTTGAATTAAAATTTTGAATGTGCGCCAAAGAAATGGCTGTACAATGAATTAAAATCTATATTCATATCTGAGACTCTGGAAAATTAAATTCTTTTCCCCAAGAAAATCCCGCGAAAGTGGGAGAAAACTTCGGTTTCTCATCAGGGAATGAGCTCCTTAAAATCAGGGAATGAGCTTTGCCAAGAAAACTAGACACCATGATTTCCTATTTTTAATGGAAGGACCCTCATTCATAACATTCTTGTTCATCTTGGTTTGATATTGAAAGCCGAAGATTGGAGTGATTTGCCACTGCAAAAAGTACAAAATACTGAAGAAAAAATTATGATTTTGGTAATATTCAAGCACGGTGCAAAGCTATCTTATTTACGAGACTCGAACTATATTTTCTTTCATATTTTGTATCTTTTGCAGTGGTAAATCATCCCTTGCAAGGATCCATTCATAAAGCTATACTGCTGAATATTACTCAAGCTCGGCAAAAATTGTCTTTATTCATGATGCCAGTCCATAAAAGGAGCTATTCACAGAAAAACTATGAATATGATTCTTGTGTGTGTTACAAGGCTCAAGTACCCGTACAGTCGATAACTTCCAAATCTTTTCATTGACAGGTGATGAAAGCCGATCCCTTGAAGCTGGAGGCAGCAACAAGAGCAAAGTGTGGGACAATGAGGAAGAGGGCGTTGTCTACAGCTGGACATTCTTCCACATTATGTTCGCTCTGGCAACATTGTACATAATGATGACCTTGACCAACTGGTACACGTAAGTGTCCCTTAAATTACCTCATTTTGTTCTGTCATTTAATTTTAAGTACCTGTGATTGCTCCCAGAAAAGGAATTCCAGTGGTACCTGGCAGTACTATTTTTAGTAGATCAATTGAAGGGCTTGGAGGACAAGGTACATACAGTGGAGCCCGTTTATAATGAAGTTCACGGTTCCCAGAAAAACTTCATTATATCCGAAACTTTGTTAAAAGCGGACTCATAAATTGTATAAACAAACGGACAAATCCTAACCTACGAAAATGGCCGACGTCAACGAGGCGCTCGGACCTACCTGCTTCCAGGATTTGTCTCAAGAATCTTCTCAAACGCGAATACAATGCCTCTCCCAGAAAGCTTTCTGGAGAGGCTGAAAAATTTTTGCCCTGTAAAATCATTTTTCTTTGGTCATGGGGCTCTTTTGTAAGAATTTTGACCTAAAGGCAAGAGAGGTACCTCATAGAATACACGGTGTGCCTGAATGAGTTTAAATTGTTTTATCTGCAACAATCGAAAATTCTTTAGATTCTTGAACTACAGTGTCTCTTGAGTCATTTGAGCAAAAAAAAAATTCTGTTGAGACCCTGCATAAAAAAGGCGATTTAAAAGTATTTTGGGGTTATAATAGCTACATCACCTAGTAAATCCCATGATATTATTGAAAAGAAATTAACTCAATAGTTTAATGCAGGAGTTTCTTAAATAAGTTTATTTTAAGCACTCGAGCACCTATACTAGCAATTTTAGCCATGTGGTGATTTCCTGAGAGCCGATAATTGAAGGAATTTCTCATAGAACCCTCCAAAATTGGCTTGATTTGTAGGCAGCCGATTCGGCCATCGAATCGATGAAAATTCAGTTCCAGCACAAAATTATGATGAAAACGCAATGAAATTCCGTCCCATTATCTTGATTTTAAGCTGATGCACCGCAGTTCTCCGCAAATCGCAGTCGTGCGCAAATGCCGCATATCAGCTTAAAATCAAGATAATTGGATGGAATCTTTAAAATTAATTTACTTCTAAAGCTCATGATGATGAATCAATATTTTGTTCCAAATCAGCAAAAAGTACCAATTGATACAAATAGCAATGACATGAAAATAGTATATGTCCAACATTTCAGTTATTCGGCACGCTTTTCCAACATATTCATGTTGGATTTTTCCTCTTGTTTTTTTGGAAGATAAGGTAATTAGGGAAAACCCTGATTTCTGTAATTCGAGAAAAATGTTAAGGAAAAAATAAAAAAATTGTTTTTGGAATACCATCCTGTAGATCCTGGACAAAGTGCACCTGAAGGTCAGAAAACGTTGTTTGAAGAAAATCCTGCTTGAAGTTTTGAATACACAGGAGGGTTTCATCACTGCATGCGTCACGAAACGTTGCATAACTAATTCTATATTGATCAAATTTTAAAAAACACAGCTGAGGACTTGTAGAATTCTATTGGAAAAAAACAGGAGAAAATTTTTTTTTTTACCAAACACAACTCACGACTCCTTTCACATTCTTCCATTCATCCCAAATCACATTCTCTAGTTCATATCTCTAAGAATAAATTGCGATGGTTAATTTCATTTTTATTTTCAACGTTTGTTTCGTTTTGTTTTAGACCAACAACATCTTTAGCAACAATGAACTCCAATTCTGCTTCAATGTGGGTGAAACAAGTTTCTAGTTGGCTATGCATGTCGCTTTACATTTGGACATTGGTCGCCCCCATTGTTTTTCCGGACAGAGTATTTGAATAAGTATTAAAATTACTGGTTTCCAGCGCTTCATTTTTTATGCGAGTACCCTATCTACCATCCGTCGAGTCAAATAAGTGTCTCAGCTGTGGCTTCTACTTCTTTTTGTATATGCAAGCTGCTCTTTTTATCAACGGTTTTTTCTCTGCAGCACAGACACCGTTTGTAAATTCGTGAAGTCGATTTTTGAATGTACGACCTGTGGCTTATAAAATGAAGTGAAATTAACCATTGTATGACCTTAAATGCCCTATTGTTTGAAGTTTTGAGTCAGTAACATAGATTTATATTGAAGGAACCGTTATTAACTGGACTGTAATAAACAGAAAGGAATCAAGTCATATCAGCCATCGCCAAATTTTATCGGATTATTAATTAGTTTATGGGAGAACGGTAATATAGACACTTTTGAAAATTTCATGAAATATCCTCTGTGATGTAAAGAAAATTCCTCAAAATTTTCAAGAGAATCTGCCCATTTATTCTCATGCAAAAAAGAAAATTGGATGAAATTTAGCAATTGCTGATATGACTCGATTCCTTCATACTTAACGCGGTCCGAATTTTCTTCATTTATTTTTTATTATTTTTTTTACCTTTATATTTTTATCTGCTACTTGAGCATTTATGTTTTACCCTACGGCTGTAACCTCGAATATTCAGCTAATATTAAAAAATTGATGTCTGTAGATGTTTTGATTTTTAAGTGGTAGCCATCGTATTCCTAAGTTTAATTTGTGATGACTTATCATCTTTACCTTCTGTCCTATTTTAGTAAGTAGTTTTTGACATGAGAAATTGATTTTAATAGCCCATGCGGAGAAAAGTCTGCTTTCCTATCTTCTGTTGTGCTATTTATTACTTCTGTTCAATTTGCTGGTTTGATGAAAAGTTCGAAACGATTTTTTCAACGTCAAACCCAGGTCAGTCTGTCGGCAGAGTTGAGTGTATTGATCCCTGGAATCCTCAAGTTTTTTCCATCTGGTTTGATAGATAAGTTCCTGAAATGATCATTCCTTTCATATTTTTTTATATTACAGTTATACAAGTTTTAGAATCATTTGAAAGTATTGATTGGTAAGATATGCTATAATTACCCTAGAATTTCTTATTAGAATACAAACTAAAGAGCAAAACCTAATTTATGAGATTAGGAGTGGGGATTAAAACAAAGAAAAACTGTGACTGGTCGAACAGAGCATAAAAACTTGAATCATTAAAAATGTCATTAGACGTATGCTTCGCACAATGTTCTGACCAGTTTTTGGAGAAATCGTGCGATCTCTTAAAGTGTTCTCAGTTTAATTCAGTTCTAATACTGCGGAGCGTTTCTAAGTGTTAGTGAGCCCAAGTAAGATAGTGACATTGGTGATGGAGGAGGTTCCAAAGTGCATTTAACAAATTGAAACGATTAAAGTATCTTGGACCCTCAGCAAAATTAGGTATACTCCTTAGCAATGCTAGCATACTACTTTATGCCTGATTCACTCAGCTGAACTAATAGCAGTAACAAGAGGATTCAAGTTGGCTCAGTCCAATTTTCTTCTCGACCGAATTGGAGGATTTCTATGATTTCAGATCAGCCCACTGACCTAGGTTAACATTGTACTCTCATGATCACAATAAATATTAGTCAGATGTTAAGAATGATTCAGAGTTGCCACAACAAGGGGAAACTGATAATATTCAGAAAATTTTCCATCATAGCGCCATATTATCGCATGTAGCTTAGAGTCAGGGAGGGAATAGCTGATAAGTGTAGCTTTTATTCATCAGGTAAGCATTTTATGTTTCTACTGAGTAACATTTTTTATCAACCCCTATTTTCTAAAGAAATAAGATTCTTTGGTAGTTAGATCGGCACTCCTGATAATAAAATGGTTGTTAAATCCATCATCTATCTGTAGTATCCCTGCCCCTCAGTTTTTTTACCTAAGTCGAAAATACTGTATTTTGATAGCACTCTAAATAACACGGAATCTTGAGATAATATAACCCTTCCTCTTGACAAGGGCAGCTCTGTTTTTCTTTTTACAATTTTGCTTGTCACTTGAAAGAACAAATTTATCTTGTCAATTGTGAATTATGCTCTCAATGTATGTACTTATTATACTGTTCTACTACCTAATAATAAAACCAACTTGAAACTCAAAGCTGTTTAATCGCTGTTTTCAGTCCAGAATGTTTTCTATCAATTTTCGAATTTGAAGAGTGGAATTTTCAAAATGAGCAGAAGAGGATGATCTCAGGATAAAAAGAATAATAAACTACGAAATAACAATAATTGAATACCACAGTGATTAATTAACAAATTTGATATCCCTGAGATTGGTCTTGCTCAAAAACATGAAAAGTTATCATTTTTAAATTATGAGACTTGATAGACCGAAAATTTATTTACACTTCTACAAAGCCTCATAGCAGAGAGGTAGTTTAAACTCACTTTTTGATGCTGCTTAGAAGTTGGATCGAAGTCGTGAAGTTTTCGCAGGATCTACCTCTAATATCTCAATTTCTTCAAAAACTGCCCTAATAATGCATCTTGTTCTTCAGTCCCCTCTTTTAGAGCTCTGTTTGTTAAAAATCGTAACTTGATAGTTATATAGGCAAAATATTTTGTGCCAAAGCTGGAAGAAGAAAGTTTAAGTGATTCATTTAGAATGAAAAAATGAAACTTTGTAAAAATTATTGTGCACTTTTATTCTTAAGGTTCCACGCATCTCAACTATCCCTGTTTTCGTGAAATCACCCAAGTAGGTACTATCAGGAATCGCAAAGATTGTGCTTGTCTTTCTGGTGAAAAATTCCGATGCCTTCTCAGATAAAAATTAAACTCCTGTGGATACTCTACTGAGAATATTGGCCTTCTTTAATGATAGGGAACCATGTTTACCAACAGAACACCATGTTTACCAGAACACAAATTCTTGCGAACAAGCATTACCTAATTCCTTGCATGCAGAGTCGGACTGGCGTAAAAAAAGTTAAGGCAGCTACTAGGATTTTGGGGCCCCTGACGTTAAAACTGGGCCCCTATGGGGGGTCTGGGGGGTCGCCCCCCAGGGACGGAGGGGGTTCGGGGGTTCTCCCCCGGAAAATTTTGAAAATTTAACCCCTGAAAATAGAAGTTTTAGGCTCTTTTTGCATTGCTAATTCGAATCGACGAGGAAAGCCGTATGGGGCTTTCGACGTTATTAAATTTCCCTTGATGAAATACGAATTTTCGAGGAAATCTGTTAATATTTCTCCTCCCGTTTTTCAGAGAATTTTCTTCGCAATCAGATCTAAATTATCTAAACATTTCAAACAGAAAAATGAAAAAATTCTCATGATGCACCCGACCAATTTATGTACCGAGGAGACGTACTTAGGTTTCTTCCTCTCTCAGCAGAAAAAAGTGCCGCAGGTCGGTACTTTATCACAAATTAATTTATTTTTGAAGAAACCTCCAGCAACGTTAACAATGTGTGTACACGTTTTAGCTCTAATTCAATTATTCTGAATGAGATGTAGGTGTGAAAAAATAGTGTGACATCTAATGAGCAAGAGAAGGGAGGTAAGTACATTTTGATTTGGATTAGTTAACAGGAGTAACTTAAAAGGAAGACTTGAACGGCAGGAAATAAATTATAATATAATAGAGGATTTGTGTTTGTATAAAGTGCACAAGTTATTTACTTCGAGAGAGACCTCACAAGATTATTCGTAAAATCTGGCATCATTGTTTATGGTGTGATCTCAGAACAGATAAGGTGCGAGCAAATCGTCAAAATTCGGAAGCCGGCCGGAGGCTGGCTCGCGAGCCACTCTGCCGGCGGGAAAAGCAACCCTCTGCGAAACTGATCACTGTTACGACGCTCGAGGCTGAGAGCGAGTCTGTCCTCGACAAGTTTCGGCCTGCGTCGCCCACCAGAGTCGCATTCGGTGCACGTCTCCGGTCGCGCACGCGTCGGCCGCTACGGCTCCTCAAAAACCCTTCAAAACTATTAGAGTTTTCTTCTCATTTGTCGGTAATTATGTCTCGTGTGTTTCTTTATGAAGTGTGTCGATAATCTGTGCCGTGTTTAACGCTTCTGTTTCTTGAATTCATTCACCACGTCTCGAGGTTTTCGTCGGTACACGCGTTCGGAAGTTCGGAACTGCATCGCCGATTCGCCTTCCGTCTCGTCATGTTTTTCATTTTGATCGCATCGTTTTGTATTTCGTCGTGCAATTAACTCGTGCGGAAATTCGGTTAGTCGTGGTGTGATTTCGTTTGGAGATGTGGACATTTCGCGTCGGTTCCCCCGGTCAAAGCGAAGCTTTTCAACGTCACGCAGAACTGAATCTTGTGATGGGCTCTCTCGATGGGAAATTTTGGCTACTGCTGCTTCTGTTTATCACGGTTTGGTCTGTGATCGAGGTTTGAGATAATGTACTTACTTCTGAATTAAATTCTGCTCAACTAAGGTGTAAATATGTATTACTTGTCATGTGATCTACCCTTGTGATTTTCCTGTTTCTTTCTCTCTTCAGTCTTTTCTCTTCTTTCATACTCGCAAGCCACTGAAAGGAAATTTTGCCAAGTTTTTAATGGAGAGGCTTGGAGGACAAAACGCACGGAAATTTTTTGAATTTTTTCTCTTCCAAGAAATATACGTGTTTCTAGTTTCAAAATTTCGTGGGGCCTAATGGCGGAAAGGAAGTTCAAACTCACTTTCTGATGCTTTAAAGTTGGATTTTAGTTGTGAATTTTCTAAGAATATGCCTACTCTCAAATTAGATTTAGATGAATTTATGAATATCTCAATTTTTTCAAAAACTGTACTGAAAGAGCCTTTGCCTCCAAGCCCTTCCATGAATATTTTTGTACCCTCTCATTTCAGGTTGCCAATAGACTCACCATGCTACCTTTCCCTCATCTGAGAATTCCTAGGTTGTTCGATGAAAATAATATGAATTTTTCATTGACATTGTGTCTTACATTTGTACCTTCAGACGATCATTTCGGGCAAGTTTCGTCCGCTTTGAAAAGAGTAGGAAATATGTTGATTGGAGAGAAATCGACTCCTTTTTGGTTTTTTTTTTTCCAGTCGGAAATGAAATTGCTATTTTTTCGAAACGTCTAAGTTTTTTATGTTATTGCAGCCTCTCCATATGTTACTTCATTGGCTGACTAAATCGTTCATTATTACTTGAGGGCTCCACGTATGATCAATGTGAGCTAAAAATCTATCGTGGAAGGTTGAGTCGTTGAATTGGAATTTTTTGTTTCAGTCATCTCGAGCTTTCCTTTTATTCATCATATTTCTTTTTACATTTTGAAGTGTCTAACTTGAACTTATCATTTCAACCCAATCGTACGAGCCCTTGCTTGCTGCCCCCCCCCCCNCCCCCCCCCCCACTTTCCTTTTCGCAGTTGCAAGGGATTACTTTACCAAGATTAGGAAAGCCCGTGTAAAATTTGAGCAATTTCATTGAAACAGAGAAGTTTCGCTACAATTTTATTAATTCAAAAATGCTGCTCAGTGTGAGAATACAGTTCTGTGAAATGTTTCCACGTCGTTAGTTGAAAATTGAGACTACTTAAATCTTGTACTCAATAAAGTATCTTCTAAATGATACTAATTTAGTATTTTCGAGAGTAGGAAGACCTTTCAACCCCTCTTGCCAAAGTTTCAAAGGCTGCTGCAGTGTTGATTTGATTTTTCTGTCCTATTGCACTTGGGGCGCTATTTCCGGTTTTCCTAACGCCGAGAAAAATGTGTCGATTGTTGTTCTTTTCAATCTCTCAATTGAACTACATTTTGCCATTCGGAACTATCATTCCTAGCAATGTCTGAGAACAACGTATGTGCCATTACTTTCCCTGTGCACTTACGTGTTTTTACAGATGAGCCTGAAATTGTATATCCTAATCGCATAAAGAAGTCCAATTCGTCGGTTTTTTGACCTAAAAGTGTAACTGAATGTCCACGTGAGCCCTGTTTTACATGAAAATCCAACTCTCCGGGGCTCACTCGAAAATCTCGGATCGTCCTTCCGTCAAAGGAGCGGCGAGTTCTCCCGCCTTTTTTCCCTCTCGCTTATCTTGTGCTTGCCGGGCGGTTTTCTCCCGCCCGATTCCAACACGCTGGGTCTCTCCCCTTCCCCCTGTGGTTTGCCTGAAGTGAATGAGTGAAGCAAAACGGGCAAGATAAGAAGTCGGCGACGAAAACTGACGCCTTGGGACCGGATGCGGGCCCTCACGGCTTGTGTCTCCTGTCTGGTTTTTCGGGCAGAGAACCCTTTTTCTCATAATCCTGAAGCCGCACGGAACGATTTCAGTCGATTTTCTGGTTTTCAACATTATCACTTATTGATCTTCTAGAATCTGAGTTTTCTTCATGGCAGGCGCTGGTGGTCTGCACGATCGCGGCTTCTTCAGTCAAACCCTCGCTTTCTCTCTCTCTCTCCCTCCCTCTTCCTCCCGTCTACTGTGATAGTTATTATCTCGGCAACTTAGAGAAGAACGCAAAGAGCGCCCCCCTCCGCCCCTTCTAATGGATTGTCATGACCGGCGTGCAGATATAAAGACAGGAAAAATCATGAGATGGTTTCTATAAGCATTGGTAGAGCAAAACCTTAGGTTTATTATTTACTTATTATTACTTACCTGTTTTTCATTTTTAAATCTTATTTTTTGAGTGTCCTCTTTCGTCGACTAGGCTCATCAGGTGAAATTGGAGAGAGAAAAAGAAGTATAGATGAAGGGGGGGGAGGGGTTCTTTTTACTCCCTGGTCCCAGCCCAAATGACTCCTTAGGAAATTTCGAGTTGTTGGAACTTTTAAATCATGTTGAAATTGATGATTCTAAGGTTGAGGGACACCTTTTGCCCTGCCCGTTTGAATAATTTTAACTTGCTGTTACCTACAAGGAAAAGTAACTTTTGTCAGAAACATTTGTTCATATCCAAGGAGATAAGGCCACACGAAATATATCTCAATCAGATTATTGATTCTCTAACTTCATCGGTGCATCAAAACTGCCGTGCTAAGGACTAACGTCGCATGATAATTCGAGAGTTGCCAAATTTCCCCGAATAAAACATGGATTTTTGAAGGACGTTATGCATATTTTTCCTTGAAATTTTCAGATATTTTGGAGTAAATTGCGAACAATATTGTCTGGAAAATTGGAGGTAAAATATTCAGAATTTTCCCAGTGAATTCCGTCTTTTATTGAAGGAAATATGACAACGCCTGAGTGCTCATACGGCGTTCTTCCTAAGTATGGCAGAATCGGAAGAGGATTTTTGTTAGGTCCGAGTGCAAAAGTGATTTTTTGTCAAGGAGAAGGGAGCCAAAGCGAGGCACCATTTCGGAATTTCTCGGAATTCTTTTAGGCTCCACAGATTTCAGCCAGTGGCTCCAGACTTGGCGACCACACACACACCCTTCCTCGTCGAATCCTTCGTTTATCGTTTGCCGGTAACACATTGGTTTTCCCTAGCTCAACCGTCCGTCCTGCTAGTCTCCTCTGAGTTAGATAAGAGGCGTTTCATACTTCTCATTCCCTCTCCCTCCCCCCTCACCTTTTCCCCTTTTCCCCTCACCCCTTTTCCTTTTTCTTGCTTTTACAGGTAGATTTGAGCACGATTTGAGAGTTTCCCTTTTCAATATTTGTCATTCTTTACCTTTCCTATTCACTTTCCTCACTGATAGCGATTTGCACCTCACAAAATTAAATCGTTCTTGACTTTGTTTCTTTTCTTTCATGTTCTTTTATTTTCTTATCTTAGCGTTGAAACTATTTTTAAAAAAAATTATCTTTGAATTACATAATTAATTTAATTAAGTTCTTGCATGTGATAGCGATTTAAGGTGATTAGATGGACGCCATTTTTGTGTCGGAGCGACGTGCGATTTATCGCATCGATTCGTTCCATAATTTCAGCTACTTGTTATTTTTTCGAATTTTGAGATAGCACTTTAGTTGTCATGGGACTGAAGAATTCCTGCACCTTTGACAAAGAAATTCAACTCAATAAAGACGTGGTATTATTAGAGGAAAAATATCACATTCAAGTGCAGTTCCGATATCCGTATCGAATCCAATATTCCTCTAAAAAAAAATCACGACTTTCTTAAGTTAAATTTCTTTGTCAAATTTGGTACGAGAATTTTTCTGTCTCATGACAACTGAAGTGCGATCTCAAAATCTGAAATCGATTCTTAAGCTCAAAAGAAGCTCTCAAAGTTGAGGCCGTAATGGAGGGGGTATCCCACGCAACGTTGCGAATTCATCTCTACATCCAGTCTTTTCCATGCAAAGATTGGAGCACGTACATTAGCAGAGTTGCCGCACTTTGTGTGGGGACTCAAAGTCGGCACCACGGCAATCCTGCTGATGCATTTGCTCCCTATTTTAGCATGGAAAATTTGCTTGCATATGGAGGTGGACTCTCATTGTTGCGAGGGGTATCCTCTCCAATACGGACTGAACTTGGACAGCTTTTTAGGCTCCGGAATTGATTTCAGAGAAAACAAGTGGCACTATTGTGTTTTTCACGAAATTTTAAGCACAAAAATATGACTTTATTGAGATCTAGAGTGGGTGAATGTTGATCCCTCCCGCGCGGATGTTTTCAGAAGGGGGGGACCGGGACTGGGGGTGACGGGGCACGTGGTTTGTTGGCCGGTCGGTTGAGCAGTCGGTCGAACGATCTGTCGATAGCTTTTTCCCCGGAGAAAGCTTTCGCGAGATCGTACGACCTACTACCCATCTGATGGTCTAACAAATGGTGAGTGCTTGTAGTTTGTTGGACGGTCGGGTGTGCAGTCGGTCGAACGAATTGTCGATCGCTTTTTTCCCCGGAAAAAGCTTTTGAGGGATCGTTCGACCTACACTGTTCATCTGACGGTCTGACAAACGGTGAAGTGAGTGCATGTGGTTTGTTTGACGGTCGGGTAGGCAGTCGGTCGAACGATTTGTCGATAGCTTTTTCCCCGGAAAAAGCTTTCGAGGGATCGCACGACCTATACTGTTCATCTGACGGTCTGACAAACGGTGAAATGAGTGCATGTGGTTTGTTTGACGGTCGGGTGGGCAGTCGGTCGAACGATTTGTCGATAGCTTTTTCCCCGGAAAAAGCTTTCGAGAGATCGTACGACCTATACTGTTCATCTGACGGCCAAACAAACGGTGAGTGCGTGTGGTTTGTTTGACGGTCGGGTGGGCAGTCGGTCGAACGATTTGTCGATCGCTTTTTCCCCGGAAAAAGCTTTCGAGAGATCGTTCGACCTATACTGCCCATCTGACGGTCTGACAAACCGCGAGGCTTCACCTGGCTCTCGTCGCACCATCAGGTTACGATCAGAAACTCCAATCATTGTGTGGTCAGCGATGACTTCATTTTTGACTGGAGTGCGGTCTTAACCTGTTGATGCAACGAGCGCTCTTTATGATGGTGATCTGGGAGGCCATTTTCCTTGTCTATCATCCACTCTTGGCAGACCTGCCGTCTGAGAGGCAAAGTCTGGGTCGAACTCCCGCCGGCGCTGGCCTTCGGCCGTCGCGTTGCGCGTCATTGCCGTGATATGCACGACACCCGGGGACCCGGGTTCCATTCCGGACGATCCGGGACGGAATCCCGGTCAAACGGAACTTTTCTGGGGCCGAATGCACCTCTCATCCTTTACTAAGGCACCAAATTTTACTTTTATGAAAAATCTGCATCCGACTTGCGTCCCGTTGTTAAAAATGTCACAATTGAGGACACCGCACCAAGAGCAGCCTATGACTGGAAACCGCGTTTTGTCAAAACGCATCTAAAGTTTTGTTTTTGATGTACTGCGCAGACTTTTCTTTGCAGGTACCCTGTTTTGGTGTTTTTGGGTGACCTAACCCTTCTATCGAAGGATGCCGGGTAGATTTTGCGATACATTTTGGGTTTACACTTTAATGTACCTATTTAATTTAAAAAAGCGGCTTATAGGCCATTATTACGCCCAACAGTCACTTTGGTGGCAATATGAAGTATAAATCATGAACGCAAAATGAAAGAATATCGATAGTGAGTAAAGAAAGGGGTAACCAGCACCTTATAGGCCCGTTTATGGGTCGTTCTTGCACCCATCGATCCAGAGGCCTAACTTAACTCAAAAACAAAAGGTTTTTCGACCTCGAGCCGTTACCTATCCATATTCTATCGCTACCACAGCATAGTCCAGGGTACGTAGAATCCGAAAAGCAGATGGGCGTATTAACGACCTATACGCCTATAGGCTGTTCTTGGTGCGGTGTCCTCAATTGTGTCCTAAGGAAAACAAGCGACGACTCACTATCGCCCCGACTTGAAATAATTGGAAAGTTTTCGTGCGTCACTCGGTAGACGTACGTTTGCAGCCTCTTGAATCTTCTACTTTTGAATGCGGGAGGCAATGAACCAATTATTTTCCAAATCACGCAAGCGCCAACATTGCGAATTCAAGAAAAACAAAAAAAAAAAAAACGTTTTATTTCACTTTGTTGACAATTTTCAAATTCCAAACAATGAGTGTTCCTGTAGAAGGCTATTTTGAAATCTGACTTGATTGATTACATCCGAGAAAACAAAGAAAAAACAACCCCTCTACCACTAAAATAGAGGTTGGCGCTCACGTGATTCAGAAAAGAATCGGTTCAAATAGGTTCTAAGTCGGATGCAGCCCTCGAAAAAATCGTTTTTAAAACCTCTCATTGAATTTGTCTCTTTATTCGGAGATTGATTTTTACATAATTATGCACAATTTTTTTACTACTACTACTATTACTATTACTACTACTACTTCTGCGAATACTACTATTACTTTATGTACCCTCACTCAGGGCCGCCCAGAAGGGGGGTAGGGGGGAGGGTAAACGGGTCTCTAATTTTAGGGCCCGGGGTCAAAGTGGCTCCCGTGGCTTTAAAATTTGTGAGGGACGGGATCATTAGGTTCATCCGTTCTCGGACCTTTTGAGTGTAAGAACAATTTTTAAGTATTGACCAAGTTTGAGGACCTCACTCGCAGTTTTACGAGCCATTCTGATCCACCTATTCTCTTAATTCTTGTTTGGTACGTTCGGCAATCAGCGCTATCGAAATGGTTTGAAATAATTTAAATTGAGAAAGTTCAAAATTGCATTTATTTTACCCTCAATTTCAAATATTTATTGGGGGAATCCCCCCAAGTGGCCCGTCACTTCAATTTGTCCCGGGCCCATTTTGTGTTTTGGCGGCCCTGTCCTCCTTACTCTGAGACTCTACCCCCTTTTATCGTACCTGTAGTGGAGAATTTGCAGATACCTATCGAAAATCTCATGTGCAAGATGAAACTATACTGACCGAACTGAGAACGAGAATACCTTTGTATTTTAATTTGAAGAGTTGTTGGAAGAGAAATGATAATCAAATGGCCCAATCTGCTAAAATCATTGTGTTTAAATGGGAATTGCCTCCTGATGACGTCACAAAGCGTTACATTTTTTCACTTTTACTTTAAACTTGTTTTCAACAATTTCCCATATAAGAAATTTTTTTTAAAACATGACATGAGCCCGGCTCATAATAAGCATACTCTCAGTTAAAGCAATAAAATGTTTTCGTGCAAATTCTCCAGGCTATTGTGAACGTTCCCGGAAACGTTAGCTAGAATTTTCCCTCTACTTACTTTCCTTTCCCGGCACTTTATTTCCTGGAAATATTGGTCCCTTCAAGGAGCGGTTTAATTAAAAATGAATGTCATAGTTTTTTAATGCAACCCATCTTTCAAGCCGCATACTCGCGTGATTTCCATGTAACAAGTCGTCGAGAATGAATAGGTGACTGATATATCGCTCCTCCATAACGTCACAATTTTTTTCATTCTCGAGAATTTTTAAGTTTTTCGAACTTTTGAGTCGTCCGCCACCCTCTTCAAGAAATTCATTATCACAGATTCAAGTTCAAGACAATTTATTGGGTTCGCCATTTTTCTGGATCTTGTCCGATGACGACCTTTCTAGACTTTCAGTTCATATTTTTTTGCTTCTTGTATATACTGTCCATCGAAGAGTCTCTTTAACACCAC